CTCTTTGAGATGCCATAGAGACGCGTGTGTCGTGTTTTGTTTGCCAAATCAGGGAGTTACATATTCAGTAAAAAGTAGGAAGAAATGTAAGTGCAAAGGTTGCGACGAAACGAGTAAGAGTTCAGTGCTCTCTCATAAATCACACAGCCTGTTAAGCTGTGGTTTCTGACCCTACTATAAACGTTATTGTCAGCTCCAATTACAGTGTCTAATCCAGGTGGGCGGGGCTCTCCAGGTCTTCTCACTATCGTCACGTCTCAGAGTTTAATCTTTTTGATCCTGCTGTTCCTCAACTCGTACAGCTTTCTCTTTGTTTTCTTCTGCAAATCACTCTGTAAATCAGTTTGTCTCTGGAAAATAACAGACAGTGATACCTGTTTAAAAGAGGCTCAAAAACTTCTCAGTTTGTACGTTATATACACGTATATTCACCAGTTCAATGGAACAGTAGGAACCTGATCTGACTAGGGATGTAACGATGCATCGTGAAGCTATTAAAAAATCCATACGAATGATTGACAATTTGCATTAGTTGAAATAAAAAATTAATCGTGCATCAAGGCGAAATGAGTAGGCTGCATCATCACAAAAAGTCACTGAAACTGTCAACTACCATGAAACTCCAGTACAGTGAGTGGCGGTATGCACCTAAAAATGTTGGTTGTGGTCCTCTATGTTCCTGTAAAGAAAGGAACTCATTCCAGTTAATTTGTTTTTTCTATTCTTTTGTTGTAATATGACAAGTTGATGAGGTACACCACATCATTTCAGCTGGTAGTTTTGTATTTTGAGTAGTTCTTACATATAGTCTATATCATTATATCTGGTCAGAATATGTCTGGAGCTCATTTTGGTTCAGAGAACTGTAATAAAATTGTGCCGTAAGTTGAGTGTATCGTTACATCCCTAGGTCTGACCACAGCTGTTCTGTTTGGCTGTCGACGGTCAGAACACGGCTTCGTCCTCCTACGCCTTGAGTGCAGTCTGCTCACAGACGTGTTCATAATGACTCACAGTAGCAGCCAGAATGAGGAAGAATAGTTTCTGTGTGTTTGAAATGTTGTTTTTGTTCATATTTGAGGTGGAGACCTGTTTATAACTGACAAGTAGATTCAAGTAGACTGCTGAGTGTGTGTGTCTGCTGGTGTCTGTGCGCAGGAGCCCCCTGGCCCAGATGGAGGAGGAGAGGAGAGAGCACGTAGCCAAGATGAAGAAGATGGAGATGGAGATGGAGCAGGTGTTCGAGATGAAAGTCAAAGAAAAAGTGCAGAAGCTCAAAGACTCTGAAGCAGAGGTGAGGGTCACCACACACACACACACCTGTCTGAGCTCCTTCCGTTGCTTGAGTGTTTGTATGAAAGTGTGTGGTTAATTTGTGTTGTTGGCTGAAGTTTCTACTAAACCAGATGAGATGTTTGCATTTAGATGTATAATTTCCTGTATCTACAACCTGACTGTTGTAGAAAGGTTGTGTTTGTATTTCTGTCATACTTCAAAGGGTTTCTATCCATTGCAGTTAAATGCAGTGTCAGACTTTTGACCTTGAAAATAATGTCGACTCCTGTCTTTCCGCTCGTGCTTCTGCAGCTCCAACGACGTCACGAACAGATGAAGAAGAACCTGGAGGCTCAGCACAAGGAGCTGGAGGAGAAGAGACGTGTGTTTGAAGAGGAGAGGGCAAACTGGGAGACCCAGCAGCGCCTGGAGCAGCAGAAGCTGGAGGCCTCCAGGTACACTCACTGTTAAATGACACAAACTCTCACATGTGAATATAGAGCAGTGCTGTAGCCCAGTGTGCAGCTTTATAAAATACTGCCCCCAAGTGGAGGAAATAGTCAATCAACCGTTTGTCTCTTAGTGTTTTTTATATTATGATTTAAACAGTTACATTAGCTGATGGACATTTCTGTAATTCACACAATAAGTCCCGAAAATCATACACACTTTAAAACAACTTGAAAGTTTGCCATTCAAATTTCACAACACCACAAATACCTACTTATATCTTTGCTAACATTTATGTATGTAATCGTTTGGGTAATGTAAGTTAACAGTAATTTTTGTTTGATTTTTGTTTGTTTCACCTTTGTAGATGGCTAATTTGAAGCTGTTTTTTGAGCTAACTCATAACAGCTTTTTTATCATCTACTTTTTATTTGAATATCTACTCCTTTGAAAATATTTTTTCTTACCTATGGTCACTTACTTTTTAATACATTTTGTACATTCAAAGATTCCCCTTTGTCTTTTGTCCCTGCCCATCTCAGAGCCAAAATCATTTTGTTTTTCTTCTTTACCCTCAGGACTCTGGAGAAGAACAAAAAGAAAGGAAAGATCTTTTAAAGACCAGCGGCTGGACCACCACCCACAATCCAATTGTTTTTTTCATATGCCAAATGTTCTTTGGGCCAGCGCACACACACATACACACTCTCACACTTACTTCTGCTTCACCTTCTTCCTCCAAACCCTCTTTTCACTGCCAGTACAGCTTAGCTCCCACCCACCAGAGGGCGTTACTGGGAGCACTGTAGGTTGAGGACAGCCGAAAGTGGGGGATGAAGCAGAGGGGGAGGAGTCGACAGGCTGCCATCACCGCAGAGGGTCCTCCCCCTTCTCTGTTGCTGCCTCCAGACTGGTCTTCATCGCACAGTTGTTTTTTTTTAGCTTAACAGCTGAAAAACTACAAGGTCAGTTAAGAAAATTAAAAAAAAAAAGTCAAGACCCACTTTATTATTATTTTAATTATTATATTATTGTTGATGTTATAATTATTATTATTGCTGTTGTAACTAAATCCTGACACCCACCTACACTTCACTAGTTATTTTTTATTATTATTATTACTTCCTCCCTCCTGCTTTAAACAACCCATGTTAAAATTTTAAGGAGTGGGAAAAACAAATCTGTTATAACCTGTTGATGTCTCACTGTTGTTCAATCATACTCTGATGGATTGTATTTGTTTACATGAAAAACAAACAGTAAAGTAACATTATGAGGATAGACAAGTTCTAAATCTTTACAGAACAGCACTGATGCATCAGTCCGCTGCAGAGCTTTAAAAACCATTTGTGTAAAAAGATCTACGCTTAAAAATGACATTCAGCCAGCCTTTCCCAACAGGAGTGTGAGGACTTTATTTGCTCACCTTCTCAGTCTCAGCCCATTAAAAAGTGTAATAGTTGAATTCACCCTGCATCAGTTGTCGATACATTGCTGCCCACATCATTGTGTTCCAGTGTTATTGTTAGCAGCTCCTGTGTCTGAGCTGAAAACACAGATTTTTTTTTCTTTCTCTCTCGACCGTTCCTGTTTTCCGTGTTAGAAAAACAAAAATCATTAATCTTCCCTATCAATACCTGTTAAAGGAAGTTTTTTTTTTTTTTAGCAATGTGTGGCACCATAAGGGTTTTCCATATGGAAAAGGCAGCATTTGTATGTGAAATCCTAGACTCGTGCAGGTGTGGGTTATGTGTGCGTTGATGAGAAACATAAACCTTTTACTGTGCGTCAATATCTATCCTAATTGAACTTTCCATTCAATCTTTGGTTTTCCTGGTAAATGGCTAACCTTTGTCCTGTGAAACAAATAGCAAAATAATATGAAACACACGAATGTCAGCTTGTCAAGACTAGGACTTAATGTGTGACAAAAACATCCGTTTACATGTCCTTGATATGAAACAATCCTTTTCTGTATTTACTTAAATGAAACATTGTCAGAATTTTTTTTAAAGCACCGTGGGGCTTTATTTTAATATTTTCAAAAAAGGCTAAAGTTTCTGTTATTTTTTTTTCCTGAAATGTTAATGCTTCATTTAATCCTGTCCTTATCAATCCTTACAATATCTCCACTAGCCTCGGACCATTTATAACATCAAGTGTTACACATTGTTTCACCTTAGTTTATTTTTATATATATAATTACATATGTATAATGTACATATATATATGTATGTACCAAGCCAGCTGAAGTAATCACATGTTTTTTATGTACGTTTTAGAAAATTCTCAGAAACTCGATGGCAGCGTCCACTGTTTAGGAAGAAATTCAAAATAAAAACATTTTGACTTTTAAAAAAAACAGTGACGTGTTTGATTTTCACAATGAAGAGCTGACACCTCAGTTTGCTTTTGGCTGTATAACTCCCATCTCTGTATTTTTAATTTTATTTTTCATTCGTATTGTACAAAGTCACTTAATAAACCTGTGATAAAACAGAACAGCAGGCTGGTTTTATTTACACAAATAGCCATGTCTTTCACCTTCAGTCAGTTTTGTCCAAACTCTTTTCACGTTGTCAATTTTCTTTAATGATGAGCTACATATGTATTAGTAAGTCGATAATGTTGAACATTTGGTACTTTAGGTTTTATTTTTTCCGCTATTCACTTTTTGACCACTAGATGTCTCTGTTTTTCAGCAACTCCATTAATTAGAACTGACATCTTGCAGATGAAAACGAGACAAACTAACTTCAGTCAGTCTGTTGGACCGATGCAGAAGGACAGTAGCTGCAGTCTGTTTTTTCCTCCCCGTTAGTTTTCCTCACTCATGGCACCTGCACAAAGTGATGACATCAGCTGTTATCAAGCAGATTTCACCCCCATGATTCAGCCTCAAAAGAAGAAAATTTAAATTGGATTGTAAAAACAAACACACCGGGATCCTTCATGCTCCTTTTCCCCATCAGGGCCACAAATGTTTGAAACTTACGTCCTAGGAGATTCAAGATAACTTATTCATAGAGTGCAAAAATAAATGTATATACATACTGCAAAAGTTCAAACGTTATTTAAAACTTACTTTTATGTTGTGACTGTAGTTTTGCTGTTCAAAAAACAAGAAATAATTATGTTGTATTAAGATGTTGCAATGATTCATATATTAATAATATAATTACCAAAGTCTTTCTTCCCAATGCGCCGCAGATAGTGATGAGGTGCTGGTTTTCTTGTCATTTTAACCAGAATATTCTTGATTATTTCAGAGTTTGGCCATTCGTTTAAATTCTGGGAAAAAAGACAAAGTGCAAAAATGAAGAAAGAAAAAGAAAAGCCGGTGGAAAAAAACCCGTCCAAGATACTTTATAAAGGTAAAATGTTGACTTAACTTAAACGTTATTCATTGTACTGCTTTTATTAATATGCAAATACGGTTTAAAATAGTTTAATACTTTAGTTTTCTCCAGATGTTCTAACAAAACTGTGAGCTTTGATGTAAACTCACCTCCCGTCTGTTTTCTCTCCAGCTCTCAATCTCAGCAGTCTGACAGAAAACATGAGTGAAGAGCAGCAGCAGCAGAACAACAGCCTTTACTCTCTCCATCGTCTGAGCCTGCATGGAATTCCAGAAAAGGTTGCAGAAATGTATTGTATTATTAATGGTTTTATTTCTAAGTTTCGAAAAAATCACGTTTACAGGGAAGTCCACGGGAGTCTGTGCAGAAAATCCGTGGTAAAATTAAACAGAGAGAAGCTGAACAGAGCGTCTGCACTGACCGTGCGCCATAGTACCGTGGTGACGTTCATCCCCACTGTGCGCTTTTACGCGCAGAGAAAAGAGGATGATGATGGTAATTTCAGTGATAATGAGGACGAAGATGGTGGTGGTGATTAATGCATGCTCAGTTATCTCGTGACTGTGACTTAAACTGTGTTGAACTGCGTGTGCGTGTTTCACGCACAGCAGCCGGAATTGTTTAGAATTGTGCCACAATTATTCTTCTGAATCCATTTATCGAAGGTTTACGGTAATTTTCAAAGCCATCGTCTCGAGCTATTGTTTGGGACATTACCGTAATTTTAAGGTCTTTAACTTGTGAATGTTAGATTCTCTTTATTTGTGATTTAATATTTTTTTTAATTGTTTAAACAATAATTTATTTTTAAACAAAGTTTCTAACTTGAGCAGATTTTAGTTTCATTAACATCGAACTTCCTGTTTTTCGAGCCAAGTTAAACGGCTTCAAAACTGAAACCTAACCGTTTATGCCCCTCTGCGGACGCCGTAGTCAGTCGACAAGCTGCATCAACAAGATTTTCCAGAACATCCAACTAATAATTTAAAAAGTTATTTAAAATTTAGTGGCGGGAACTAGCTCGGCGTGTTTAAAACACATGCCCGGTAAGTGCTATATTCAAGGCCCATTCACATAAGCAGAAGAAAATGGACGTGCTGCGTTTACGGTGCTTCTGGTACGTTCTGGTTCTGGCCGTCCATGTGTCTGAAACAACTGACGTTAATACGGGGTCCAAACAGACACACGACACCGACGTCGTCCCAGACACGACGCCAGAAGACAACTCGGTGTCTCCCCAGACATCCAAGGAACCCTCAGATCCAAGTCCACCCTCCTCTGCAGGACCGGAACCCGGAGATCCCGCCGACTCCTTCAGTGTCCCAACTCTGGATGGGGAGTTTTCCTGGGAGCCTGGGAAATTAGAACCAGCGTCTTCGCTCTTCATCCACGCCTTCACCAACAAGTCGGGGTTTTTGGAGTGTTTGTGGAGCTCAGAGGAGTCCCTGAAGAGTTTGGTGGTGGATCTACCGGACTCTGCCGAGCTGCTGGTCCTGTCTCTGGATGATTCTGCGGTCACCGACGCTCTATGGATGCAGGAGCAGGTGCAGCGGAGCGCGGCTACGTATAGGTGACCATTTAGAATTGGAAAATTCTAGAAGTTGTAGCTAAGTTATAGCTAAGATCGTTCATATTATTTTTATTTAGTAAGCGAAGAAGTAGCAGTGGACAACATCGCAAAACACTGTTACAAAACGTTTTTAAACATAAAAACATCGTGTTTTTTCAAGATACAGATGCAGTAAATCGAAGTTTTACGATTTTAAGTGATAAGTAAGTAAGCCCAGTGTCAGGTCTGTTGTTTTTATATTTCTTTTAAAACTGAGTGGTACACATTAGGGTACTATACGTTTTCTCAGTTGTATTTGAAACTGTAATAATAATAATAATCAAATGGTTTTGTAATTGTGCAATTTAATATTTTTTCTTCAGGAACATTTTTGGACGGCTATGATTTTTGAATAGGATCTAAAACAACATTTCCTTCATTTAAGAAGCACCTAGAATTATTTAACTGTCAATTAATGAAATAACACCTGAGTGTGTGTCTCTGCAGTAAGATGGAGGTTCTGTCCAGGATCCACTTCTGTCCAATACCAGTCTTTGCTCTGGGTAACTGGATCCCAAAGGTTCTTTACTACTGGAGCTCTTCTGGACAGACTGGTCTTTCTCAAGTTGTTTTCAAGAGTGAAGGTAAGCACAGAGAATTTCCTCACTGCATCAGTTTTGTCTTCTTTTTTTTTTCCTGATTGACGAATCAATGTGTGTTTCCCCTCCCCACAGGGTGGAAGATTCCCATCATTGTTAAGCGACTGGACGCCAGGTATGATTGGCTCAGTCGTCGCTGGGAGAAGAAGTCCTATCTTTTGTCGGATGCAGGGAATGGATGTGATCCTTCGTCGTCTGTGGCTGGTGCTGTGGCCTGGGTATCTGAGGGCGGATGCTCCTTCTTCACCAAGGTTTGTTTATGAGGGGCACAGTTCCACCAAAGCAGGGGTGTCAAACTCATTCTGGTTCAGGGGCCACATACAGCCTAATTAGATGTCAAGTGGGCCGGACCAGTACAGTCATAACATAATGAACTATAAATAATAATAAGTCCATGTTTTTACCCTTTTTTCATGCAAGAAGGTAAGTGTATTAGAAAATCTTCACATTTAATGAAAAATAATTTTTCGAAAAACATAAACATGACATGTTTGTACTTTCAAAATGTAGCAAGCGGGCTAAAATGAACCTCCTGGTGGGCTGGTTTTGGTCCGCAGGCTGCACTAAACCCCCTGCACTAAACTGAGGAACAAACCAATTTAAATTGAGCTTTATTTAAGCTGATCTTTTACTTTTACTGACTGCTTTTCGCCTGTCTCTCTCATCACAGGTCCAGAATATGGCCTTGTCCAACGCCTCTGGTGTCCTGGTCCACACTCTCCCTGGTGAGCCCCTCCAGGACATGAACTGCGTCAAAGATGAATGTGATCAGACTCTGAACATTTCGGCAGCCATGGTGCACCTGGAGCCATCGGTGGTTCAAGCTCTAAGGTGTGTAATAGATCAGGGGAGTCCAACCCTGGTCCGGGGACCGGTGCCGGTCTGTAGGTCATTTGGTACCGGGACACAGTGGAAAAAATGTACTTCAGTTTTACTAAGTTATTTCATTCAAAAGTATCCCTTTACTTTTTTTCATTCAAAGATAATCAATAGTCATTATAGTTTCAAAACAACTGGTCATTCAAACTCTGGTACTAACAGAAGAATGTCTAGAAGAGGTTTTATTTTGAAACTTTAATGATCCTTCAACAATGGTGTGATATTACCAGTCCGCAGTAACGGCTGATACTGGCCGACCGGTCCTAAACAAAAAAAGTTGGGGACCGTTGTACTAAATATATTAATATACTGTCGATATTAAACATACTAGATGTAGAGTTTGCTGAAAATTCAAGCTCCGTTTGAACTTTTACCTTGTAGGTCTGGACAGAAGGTGAACGTGTCCTTCCAGAGGACTCCTTCACCAAACCTCTTCTTTAGCATTGACCAACAGGGGGCGCTGGCAGAGATAGGTTTGTTCCTTTACCCCTCCTTCAGCTTCATCAGTTGGCAGGCGCAGTGGTGAGAAGTAGTGTTTTCTTTCCTTAAGAACCTTTGTTAAAAGTTAATCTCCTAACATCCACGTTTCTCTCCAGGTTTGATTTTTCTACAGATCTTCAGATCAAACTTCGAAGTCCAGCCGAGGTGATTCCTGTCTTTGACAAGGTCCTGATGAAGGGAAAAAAAGGAGCTGTAGCTACTGTTCAGCTGCCTTTAGGTAACACTTTTGCAAAAGCATCCCTTTTTTTAATTGAAAATTTAATTTATTCACATTGTTGTGCAACAAACGTGGCTGCCAATAAAAAAGCAAATTAGCCACCAAGCTAAAATCATTTAACAATGAACAAAAACAAACCTGAAAGTCAGTAAAGAAACTGAAAGGTCAAAACACATTTAAGGCAAAATAATATAGCTTAGAGAAAGCATAGAAACAGGTGATTTTAGCTAAGTAAGTCGCTTCACATTAGCAACGTTCATATATTTGCGAGTTACATTGTAGCTAAAGAGTTTAGAATAATAAGTTTAGTCTAGAAAAATTGGAAATGTTACCTTGGATATGGCAGGAAAGCTTAAAGTTAGGCAAAAAATACCAAAGAGTTACATCATAATCTTTTTGGTAACACTTTTGAAAAAGCAACACTTGTTTGTTAGATTTTAAACTTTCATCATTCACATTATTTTGCAACAAACATGGCTGTCTTTAAAAAAGTCAGTGACAAAATTTAGTTAGCAAGAAGCTAAAATTTGTCAAAAAAACCCTTATAGTAACCCTATATAGCAAAGATGCTTCTTTTTTTAAAAAAAAAAACTGATGTAAATAGTAGAATTGAAATGTAACTTGAAAGTAGAAAAAATACAAACTGAAAAAAAATAAAATAAAATTAGTCTGTCTCTCTTCAGATGCGTTGATTGACACGTGGGAGTTGGACGTGTCTTTGTCGTGCCCTGGCAGAAGAGACTCTACCTGTGCCCACTGGGATCATACTGTTCAGCTGTTTGTCTGCTGTGATTCTCACAGTCCCTACTGTAACATAGAACTGGGCCGATGGATCACTGCCTTCCGCAGGTTAGAGCCCATCTACGGTCGACATCACTGAGCTGAATAACAGCTTGTGATGAACAACCTCTCTCTGCCTCTCTTTCTCTCATATATCTGTTTTTGATGTTTAGATGGGAGGGATGGGGGGGGGGGTAAAATTGGTGTTTAGCTATTTTTAATGGGGAAAATTCAATCGAGATACGAGTGCTGTTGTGGAACTGATTAAACTCATATTTTGAGGCCCCACTAAAAAAAAAAGCTTTGTTATCTATGGCATTATCTGTGTGGGATTCAATCTAATCTATTAATATTTTGTATGTAAATGAAGCGTTTTAATTAATATGCTTAATATTATTCTCTTTCTGACAGAGGTATTGGACACTGGCTTACGGACGTGTCCCCCCTGCTCCCCCTGCTGGATGGTGACACCTGCACCTTTACTATGAAGTCAGCGTGGTGGGAGATGCCCTGGTTAGCATCACTTAACCTGAGATTCAGCATCAGCGCAGAGAGAGGTCAGGAATTAGTAGAGGTGGGGAAATAATCTAATTTTTTGATGCATCGTGATGAAAATTTATAAATGATTATTTAAAATGAAAAAATGACATAATGTAGATTCCTTAACCAATGGGCTGGTGAAACTGTAAAGATGGCTGAACTAGAGCCACAGCTCAAAACCAATAAGGTTTGACCAGCGCCCCCTGTCTTAACAGCTTCCATGTGGCAGCACTTCAGTTTCTCTGAAGTAGTTGGACAAACAGCTGGCTGCTGTTGCTTTTGGACAGGAGAACAATAACACGGGCATGCCAGTGCTACAACAGCACTCCTAGAGTCCAGGGTAGAGAATGACATCAGTTGCCTCATTAAGATTCATAACTATTGGTTGGTCACCAAGATGGATACCCTTTATTTGCATGAATAAAAGTTAATGCCACAAAGTAATTAGGTCATGCAATAGTGGATTTAAAATTTACTTATTTATATGTGTATTGAATTATATATAGCATTAAACTAATCCTGTAATGTCAATTGTATAATCTTAATTCTTGGCCTCATAATCGTTATCAAATCCAATCATGATGTACCAAGAGATGAAATGTTTCCTCACGAGATGCTAACCATGCAAATAAAATAAATAAATTAAAAAAAAAAACATAAGGTGAGTTAATTAATTCCAAAATGTTTTGTAGCAGGTAACTCTGTGGAGAAGCTCCGCCCCTTCCATGTGACATCACTGTACAATGGCGGCACCTTTGACAGAAACTACAACAAGAGATTCCAGCCAATCAAATTTGACATCCTGGCCTCAGCCAAAAAGGTGACGTGAAATGTGAACTATGACCTCTGACCCTGTGTTCTTTTTTCTGGATGGTTTAATTCTCTTCTCTTCTTTAGGTGGAACTATTTGCTGTCATCACAGCACACGGCTACGACAACAACAAGTGCGGTGAATTCTGCGTCACCTCTCATCACTTCGTCGTCAACGAAAGGTTGAACAACACACTTCTTTTTGGTTCTGCAGGTAAAAAAAACAGAAGTCCTTCTTTTTTTTCATATTTGAAAATCCAAGTGTTTTTTGACTTGCGGGCCTCGATGGGTCCTAAAATTTGACGGTAGGGCTGGGTCAGGAGCAGAGAGATAAAGTGTTCGTGTGACCTAAGATAAATCACGTGAAAACATGCATAAAGGCTGAAATGTTAAAAGGCTTTTAGCTTTAACCAGCGCCATCTGTTGGGGAATTCTGGGCATTCCAGGGTAAAGGCAGACGTATAAAGATAATATGAATTATTAACATAATTTGGACATGTTTGGCAGCCTGGATTAAAAAGCCAAGCGGACCGCATCGTGCCCCCAGGCCATAGTTTGCCCTTGACTGATGTAGTATCATAAAGACTTTGTTTGCTAACATTACACTGTTCATTTGGTTGAATTTGTTTGGTCATTTTTTTATTTTGTAAATGTCTGTTGTTGCTTGATTTTACTTATGTTTAGTCTTTTTATCATTTGGTTAAATTTAAGCTTTTTTGGCTTGGTTTATGTCACTAACTTTTAGCTTTAGCTTTTTGATCTCTTAACCACAGATGAATCTAATATAACTTCAATACATGTTGTATTTTGGCTATTATCATTAGGTATTTCTGAATGTACAATTTTGAACAAATTTTCTGTTTTTTTATTATCTACTGTTTTTCTTTTACTTTTACTTTACTTTTTGAACATTGTTTTGGCAAATTGTTGTTACATACAGTATGATAATAAGGACTTTGATCTTTAACTAGCAACACCTCATGTTAATGGAATGAAATAATAAGGGTGATTACCCACATAACAGGGTGATTTCTCCCTCTGTGTTTATCTGATGCTCGGTGACCCTTCAGGATCTCCTCTTGGCTGTACAAACCTAGTCAAAGACGGGGCCGTGCCAAACGAATACGGTACCTGGCTGTACGGACGAGGCGGCTGGTGTGATGGTCTGCAGGTTGATCCCTGGAGGATAGACATCACCGCACAGGTCAGTGATCCCACAATCCTAGCTTACAGCACATGACGTGTTTCATAATAACACATCTTTAAAATGGTCTGCAGAGACGGTGGAATTAATTTGGGCTTGTTTTAAAATCTTCTGATAATACAAACTTTTTTCAAAAGATTTTTATTGTTGGTGACTCAGATAAGATTAAATGATAAGATCTTATGTAATCTTAAAAAAATCAAATACGATTAAAAAAAACCTGTTTTTGAGTAAGTTTCTGAATCTTTGAACCAGAAAAGATTTTGAAAAAAATAAAGGTCCAGGTCAAGAATGAGGCGAGAGAGCTCATTAAAATCAAGGAGCCCTTCTCAATGACTCAAAAGCTTTGTGACGTCACCGTGTGAACTCGTGAAGTGTTTCTTTCTTTTTCTCTGCTTGCTTATCGGCCATTTTTGGCAGCACAAAACTAACCTGTCTCACGACGGTCTAAACCCAGCTCACGTTCCTTATTGGTGGGTGAACAAGAACCTTGTTGCCATTCAGAGAAGGTTTTCTGTGTCTTTTCAGTTGGACATGAGCGGCTCCACATCCAACACTATCGTCTACTACGGTTTGTTCGATGGTAGGGATCCTAATCCATCTCAGGATCCAGGATACATCATCATGTCCTCTTTTCTGGTTTATTACAAATGACAGCGCACACCATCAAGCTCTGGTCTGGATGTAAATCAATGCAAATCTTTCGTCTCATCTAATCTTAATTCACTGTACAGGCTGAGAATCAGCACCAGGCTCTGAACCACCTGCCGCATGAAAACCAATTTGCATTTTTTGTCTTCCACGCGTTTGCCCTGGAGTCAAGACGAGAACGTGTGGCAGCTGAACAGACTCTCGGTGTGTATCATTGAGCCCAAGTCTGAGGATGTTGTGTTCTTTGAGTGGCCTCTCAGCATTAATCATATGGAACTGAGAGAAACTCGAAACTCTCAGGTGTTTCTCAGTGAGTCACAGAGCACAGCTGCTGAATTTAACAACACAAGAGTCACCACTGGTTGTTCTAGGAGAACACAGGGAAACTGCACAGGTTAAAGAACATCAAAAAGAAGCAATTCATAATATATTGGTAAATTCTGAAAATGGCAGACAGATCTGCGGTAAAGTACTGCACAGAAACAGTTTATTTACTACACAGTTGTAAACTATCTGATTCTCTTCTTTATAATACCACAGACGCTTCAACAGGGAACAAATCTGGATTGCAGGCAGGCCAGGCAACGGCAGACACTTTTTAAATCTGTGTTTTTAAAGGGTTTTTTTTGTCAAGTCTACCAACAGTGTTCTGAAATGATGCCTTATCATTTGTTTTTTGAAGATTTTATTGTAGTTTTCTTGCACCACAGTTTTATTTTAAAAAGGTACGTATAAAAAAAACGTTAGCTCATTTAAGTAGAAAAAAAACCCAACACAATTTTAAGAAAAAACATTCGACAAATTTGTTAGTGCCTAAAATGTCTATACAGTTGCTGGACACTGTATGTAACATAGAAATCACAATGCTGTGTTTGTGGGCTTTAGATACAGTGTGAAGGGGGTAGCACCATCTAGTGGTAAACCTGCTTGTGCAGTATTAAACATGGCTGCCTCCATGGGACATCTCTAATGTGTAGTAAAAAGTACTTGTTCTGTGCTAATGAGAATATTGATTAGTACTTTGAAAAAAAACCATCAGTGAAATTGTTTTATGTTCAAATTTTAGAACAAAAAAAATAAAATGTTAAGTTTTACATAGTGCACATTTTAAATGGCTTCACTTTCTCTATAACAGTAATTTATTTTTATTATTACTTTGGCTTATTTTGCTTGAACACACTTATACACACCTATGTCTTTAAACATGTCCCTGTGTGTCACCTGTGAGTCTGTTTTGCTCCTAACGTTAAACCCTGACGCAGGTTTCTCTGCAGCTCCTCTCGGTCTCAAAACGATTGCTGTTTCCTAGGCAACCTCCGAACCAAAACTGAGCGCAGGAGTTGGCCGTGGTGTCGTAGTACCACCTGACTTCGTAGTTTCGACACGGCCCGGGGTCCAGGCTCAGGCCGCAGCGCTCTGCTGTAGAAACAGGAAGTGGAGGCTTCAGGAAGGGTCTGCATTCAGACATGAACAGTGAATCTGATAGACGAGGTCAGTGGTTCATAACCTTTTGTGGCTTGTATTTTGACCACAGTGTGGCGTCTCACAGAATTAGTTATTTAAACATGTTTTTATAGCGTGTTGAAATACAAAGTAGCCAGATTAGTGGACAGTGACAGCTGTCAATTAAGACATTTTTTATATTCATGAAGGTGACAGAATACAGTACATATTTTGAGATTGTTTCTAGTGTTTTAAAATGTAATTTTAAAAAGAATAATAATTTAAAAAATATCAGTATTTTTTACGACTAGACATTTCAGGTGACCCCTTTTGAATTCAAGGTGACCCACTGTGGTGTCACGCCCCCAAGGATTTGTGTCACCTGTGAGTCTGTTTTGCTCCTAACGTTAAACCCTGACGCAGGTTTCTCTGCAGCTCCTCTCGGTCTCAAAACGATTGCTGTTTCCTAGGCAACCTCCGAACCAAAACTGAGCGCAGGAGTTGGCCGTGGTGTCGTAGTACCACCTGACTTCGTAGTTTCGACACGGCCCAGGGTCCAGGCTCAGGCCGCAGCGCTCTGCTGTAGAAACAGGAAGTGGAGGCTTCAGGAAGGGTCTGCATTCAGACATGAACAGTGAATCTGATAGACGAGGTCAGTGGTTCATAACCTTTTGTGGCTTGTATTTTGACCACAGTGTGGCGTCTCACAGAATTAGTTATTTAAACATGTTTTTATAGCGTGTTGAAATACAAAGTAGCCAGATTAGTGGACAGTGACAGCTGTCAATTAAGACATTTTTTATATTCATGAAGGTGACAGAATACAGTACATATTTTGAGATTGTTTCTAGTGTTTTAAAATGTAATTTTAAAAAGAATAATAATTTAAAAAATATCAGTATTTTTTACGACTAGACATTTCAGGTGACCCCTTTTGAATTCCAGGTGACCCCATGTGGGGTCACGGCCCCAAGGTTTAAAAACTTTGAACTTGGTGTAATCTCTTATCTAAACCCCACGCATGTTCTTACAAATGTTCTACTGTTAAAGAGTTCAGATCGTGGTGTCTTACTGACCTTTGACCTCAATGGTCCAGACTTCTTAGGCCACGAATGAACAACATGGGTCAGAAAATGGTGTATACGTTTACTGCTGCTTATTATTCTGAGTGTTATGTGTTAGCTTCAAATGTTTATTAATTTGAAGCAATAGTTCTCAGTGGTTTTGTCATGCCCCTTGTGGACAGAAATGTCTTCACGCCGACTCACAACCCTGGAAATTGAAATACTATTGAGAACCTGATAACATGAATATTTTTATCTGTACAAAACACTGTATGAGTTGCTGCCACCTAGTGGTTGGAGGCTTGTTGTCATTATCAGTATTACAGCATTGGTACACTTATGTCCATATATCCACGCCCCACCTGGTGCCTTACTGCGCCCCCCAGGGGGCCCCGCCCCACTATTTGAGAAGTACTGATTTAAAAAGTTTACCATTGGGCTGGACGTGTGTGACCACCACCGGTGGTCTTGGTGGAGGAGGTTGTGATATTCTTTCTTCCACTGGGGGAATCTTCAGAGTGGGACCAGCTGGACCTAGAGCTCCATTAATTACAACAAAGGTCAAAGAGTCCTTCATCTCTGTCCCCGGTCTGGGGGGTTCGTTATCAATTGGCGGAGGAGTGTTTGTGGAAGTTCGGGTGTCTGGCCGTGGTGTCTGCGGAAAAGTCGGTTCTTTTTCTGGACGAGAACCTGGAGGACCAGGCTGAAACAGAAAACAGTCGATTATTTGGTGAATACATAAACCTGAAATGAGTCTTTTATTTTAAGACCAAAGAGAGAATACAAATGTTTAAGTCTTTTCAAATGACATTATCGCAGTTAGACACTATTAAGGAGGCTGTTGTTTTTTTGTTTTTTCTTGTTGTTTTTAGTTTGCTTTTCCTCACCGGCGTATGGATTTTCCTGAAGTCTCCTGTGAAAGTGGGTGTGTCTGTGTCCGTCCTGTGCTGTGGTTCCCGGACATTCCCAGAGGTCTCAGGAAATCCTGGAGCGAGTCCAGAGCTCGGGACAGAGCTGAACAAACGGCTGTGTTCATCTTCACAGATGTAAGTCAGTAGTTTCCTTTCCAAAGCTGTAAAACAAACAGAACTACGACCATTCAGCGTTATACTTCCATTATGGTCATTTTAGCCAGTGTTTAAGTTACTCATGGATTAACATTTGTTGACCCCAGATTATTTTGCTACATTTATACTAATGAAATATTGTCATTATATTTTGGAATACAATAACAGTTTGTTAGATTGACAATTAAGGTACCTGTGGTTTTCAGTTAGCTATTTTTTTTTCTATGCACAGGTGTCTTTGACTTGCGTCGGAATTAAATTCTTACTGCGCAATGTAACTCGATATTTGCCATAAGTCATATACGCTAACACAACAGTATCTTCATAATCTTGGACAAAAAACACACCAGAAGAGTCTGACGTACGCATTGGAGTGATAAGAAGGGGCCAAAAAAAATGTTAACTCTAACCTATTTATGGACTTCGACGTATTGGTTTAGGTGGTGGATAAACTTTGGGATCAAACTTTAACAAGATGATGAGACAAAGACAAACCTGGCAGTTTGGTGAATTCATCGATCAGATACACATGTTCACTGTCGGGGTCAGAGGCCATGAACTCCAGCTCTTTCCGGAACTCCTCGTACAGAGGGTCGCTCTGGTTCAACACTCCGACGACAAACATCTCAATGTCGCTCTGTTTAGCTTCCGTCACGGCGTTCTCCAGACTGACCAGGTCTCTTTTATCAGCCTGTCCGTCAGTAACGACCATGGCCACCTTCCTGACGCCAGGCCGTGCGGTTTCAAACACCTTGGTGGCCTCCTTAATGGCACTGCCTGTGAAGGTGCCCTCGCCCATGTAGACCATGGAGCGTACTACAGACTTGATCTGCTCAGGAGTGCCAGGTCCGAGACCATACACCACCGTGTTGATGTGACTGTAAAGGACCACGCCCACTCTGGTGACGTCGGGCTTGACCGACACCCGGTCGATCACGGCACTCACAAAATCCTTGATGAGGTTGAAGTTGTCGGGGCCAACGCTTTCTGAGCTGTCGATCACAAAAACCAACTCCAGAGGAGTTTGACGGCAGGAGACGCCACAACCTGATGCAGCAAAGAAGGTTTAAACTGAGAGGCAAGAAGAGGTCCGACATTTCTGGTAATAATGTTGTTCGATTTCTTTACTTACTGCACAGGGATCTCACTATTTTGATGATTTCATCTCTCTGTGAAAACAGTAAATGAAATACCTTAAGAGAGAATCTTTGATTTAAAAGATTTCATCTCTTGAGGCAGTGAGTGAAGTTGGAGAACTAGAGGTTAGCCCAGGCTTGGGCAAACCTTTTGACTCACGGGCCACTCAGTGGGCGGGGTCACGGGCAGAGATGTGAACTAGATGGAGCGTTGGTGTGAACTAAGAAATGATATGTCAAAGTCATGCATTAAGGCTAAAATGCTTTTAGCTTTTTCTACACCATCTATTGGGCAAAGATGGGCATTGCCGGAAAGAGGAACAAATATAATGATAATATAAATTACTAATATAATTTGGACAAGTTTGGTGGGCCGGATTCAAAGGCCAAACGGGCCGCATCTGGCCCGCTGGCCGTAGTTTGCCCATGGCTAGGTCAGACCCTGTATTAAGACTAGGCAACAAAAACAGACCAACATAATACAATCTGCATAATGGAAGATAAGGGATAACAAACAACAGAAGAACTAAAGGACTGCAAGAAAAAAATAAAGGAAAAACAAAACATTTTTAATGATATGAATAAAAACTAGAAGACTAGAAGACTTATAGTCCTAAGACCAAATATGTAGAAAATGGAAGTAGAAAAAGATGGGGAAAAAGACTCACTGTAAGTCCAGGTTCTCCTTTCTGTCCAACTCTACCCTGTGAGGTGAAATTACTTTTTAAAAATTAATTGTGAACAGAATCATTGCTTTCCCATCAGGTAAACAATGACTTCCTGAATTCTGGAATCGAACAGTTCTAGTACCACTAATCCAGGTATTCCAGGTTCTCCTGGTTCTCCTCCGTCTCCTTTTGTTCCCTTCTCACCCCTGAACCCTCTGTCGCCCTAAGAGAACAAACAGGTACAAGTCCAGCTCTGAGATTAAAATCAGAAAGTAGTCTCTGACCAGGGCCTTATCATCACCTTATCTCCCTGTAGACCCTGCCCTGGAAGACCTCTTAGACCTGGAACCCCCTGAAATCCTGGCTCGCCCTGGAAACATGGAGGAGATCATAAGTCCATGTGACATTTGTTCTTCAAAACCAAATACAAGGGATTACTGTGGGTGTGTCAGGTAAGAGCAGCACCTTCTGTCCTTGAATACCTTCCCCAGGCAACCCTGGTGGGCCCATTAATCCCATCTGTCCGATGGAGCCCTGCAGTGATGATAAAGTTAAATTTCTGAGGAAAAAAAAGAAGTCTAGAAGATGTTTTTACAAATACGAGATTTCTGAGAAAACAAATTACCTTAGGACCAGGTTGACCGATTCCTGGAGGTCCTGAAGGTCCAGGAGGTCCAGGTAACCCCCTGTCTCCCTGAACACGAGACAGACCAATCAGCAAGATATGGACATATTCTTGAATAAAGTCTTTCTAAAAGGAAACTTAAAACTAACCTTCGAACCAGGTAAACCAACACCGTCCGGTCCAACTTCTCCCATCAGTCCAGGAGGCCCAGGAAGACCCTAAAATGCAGTTTATATCAAATATTAAATATCACTTGGTGATGGTAAGTTAAGTCAATAAGTAAAAAAATGTCGGTTTACTCACAGGGACACCAGGGAAACCTTCACCTTTTAATCCAGGTGGACCAGCAGGTCCTGGTGATCCTCTGTCACCCTGCGGACCAATACGTAATACTGTAATACTTCATTAATTCAGATTAGGTTAGTCAAACTTCACATGTAATTGCTATAGTCTAAGAACCGTTAGAAGTATCAAGATACGATAAGTAGCAAGGAAATAGCTTAAAGGTAGCCTAGAGAAACAGTGAAAACTGTAAAGATATAGCTGTAAAGCAAACAAAAAACTTGACGTTGGCTAAGTCATAACTTTTGCTAAAATAAGCAGGTATTTGTCATCAGGTTAGCTAAGAGGAATGATCAGTGTTGGTTAGTCCTGGGTTCGATTCTTTAAGGAACCACATTTCCTTAGTGATACCTCCTGTGTGGCAGCCAATGAGTTGCAACCACATACTTAATGGCGCCTCCTGTGGCAGCCAATCATTATTATTATTATTATTATTATTATTATAGCAACAGCTAAAATCTAGCCTAAATTTATTTATTTATTTTAGTGGTGTGTTTCAGGTGGATTTGACCTTGAATATCTGCTTTTGTTAATTTTTTTCCTCTTTTTGCTCACTTTGACTTCAGTAATTATGGACCTGGAGTTTACCTTAGCACCAGCTAAACCCAAGCCTGGTTCTCCCACTGGTCCAGCTGGACCCGGTGACCCTGGATCTCCCTGACAAGACAAAGAGCCAAACATGAAAAAAAGGTAAATTGACAGAACTCAAACCTTCATCATAGTAAATGAGTCAAAGACTATGATGTTCCTGATTCATCCACTGCAGGGGTGTCAAACACACGGCCTGCTAGCCATAACCGGCCCACGAGTGTGTTCAGTCCGGCCCACTTGATGAATTTTGAAAGTAAACAAATACACAAACACCTCATGTTCAGGACATTTTTTGTGAAATTATATTTCAGTGAATATCAATAAATAAATATAAATATCTAATATACTTGTGCTTCTTTGCTTGAAAACAACAGGGAAAAAACATGGACTTATTTTTAGTTTATGTCATGATTGTACCGGTCCGGCCCACTTGACATCTAATTAGGTTGTATCCGGCTCGTGAACCAAAATGAGTTTGACACCCCTGCTCTATTGTTTCTCAGCAGACCCACCTTGGCACCAGTCAAACCTCTTCCTGGTGATCCATTTGCGCCTGGTGGACCTATGAATCCTGGTTCCCCCTGGAGAACGAAACATTCATCAAACTCGTGAGTTAATAAGTCATTTTAGCATCAAAAATTCAAATCTGGGATTCTACACTCATTCTTGAAAAGTCTAATCTATGTCAGGAATGATGTAGTTATTAGACACTGAATCTTAAAGCTCTGCTTCAGAGGTTCTGTGACATCATGACACACCTTTGGCCCCATTGGTCCCACTGGACCCACAGCACCTACGAGACCTCTGGTCCCCCTGTCTCCTCTGTCTCCCTGTAAAAACACATTTCATGATTCTGTATGTGGAAATCACTGTTTTTTTCCTATATCCTATCAACAAACATAGAAAAAAATCTCTGTCACCTTGTTTCCAGTAGCACCTTTACCTGGAGGACCCTCAAGTCCCCGAGGTCCTGGTAATCCAAGCTCCCCCTGTGATTAATATTGAAGACATCAGTGGCGTAAAAACTGATGTGACTCGTTTTTACTGAGTGCTTCAGTCAACTGTCGTACCTTTTGTCCTGGAGCTCCATCCTCTCCTGGTTGACCTGGAATACCTGATAATCCCTCAGCCCCCGGGTCTCCCTGAAAATAACACACAAGAGCTCAAGGGGATGTTTCGAAAATGACGTGTGTCCTAAAAATAGTTTTGGGGGAAAATGGCTGTATATTAAAGTGAAAGCCACTAGATGGCAGCAATGCAGCTCATTTTATTAATCTATTTTATTAGACAGTGGATTGTATGCAGAATGCTGGTGCCAGCAAGTGATACAGTGGTTTGTCCAGATAAACAAATAAGTATTACCAGGCGCTCAGTAGTATTTAGATTCGCAGGCTGTTTAGTTTGGACAAAACCGGCATATCAGAATTCCTGACGGCGCTATGCACCTCACAATAAACTAAAACACCTAATTTTTCTTTTTGCTGTGTGTGAAATTGAAATGGTAACTTGACATGACATCTATAGCAAATTTGTGCAGAAACACTGAACTTACTTTTGCTCCTTGTTCTCCTATTCCTCTCAGTCCTGGGGGTCCAGGTTCACCTGTCAGACCCTGATCTCCCTACAGACAAAGTTTACACAACAACAAAACAAAGATGGGATATTACATCAGATAATAAAAAGAAGTTTATAATTCTATATTTATCCAAAACATAAATCTTGTTAAAATTAGTAGCAAGTACAGTACCTTTTTTAAAATCTCCTTATGAAAAGCCATATATATGGCACATTTTTGTTGGATATATTCTAGTCCATCACTGTTATATATTTTTACTATCTTTGTATTTGCCTTTTAGCCTGGTATTTTTAATAAATAAACACAGAAAGTCACTAACTGCAATGTAGTTAATTGCCATAAATGATTGTCTAAATCCTGTGTCTCGATCTACGTTTCTACAAATACCTCCTGCCTCGGTGATTGATGCTCGGTTCAAACTGATTTGATTGACAACTGATTTTGTTTCAATCAGAAATTTGTGCAGCAAAATATGCAGAAAGCCTGAGAGACAATCAGCCCGACGTCAGTCACACTCAGTAGATGGGTGTCTGTTTATGAGGCAGCGAAATTGTCAGATAATGAACACCTTACTCCTCCTCATGATCCTTCTCCATTTGTTTTACCTTAGGTCCTGTTATTCCCACTCCAGGACTACCTCTAGGCCCCGTAGCACCAACTGGACCTTGATCGCCCTAAAAAGCAAAAAAGCAAAACCAAAAAAACCCAGAAGAGTTTGGATCATTCCGCTTTTGATCAGCTGACATTTTAGGTCATATTCTGTGTGATCTCATCTTTATTTTTTAACCTTGTCTCCTTGTAGTCCTGGACCTGGAGGACCAAGGAGGCCTGGAAACCCTGGTGGTCCAAAGTTGCCCTGAGAAAAAAAAATGTATTCATTTTAAAAAAGAAGGTCAAAAGGAGTTGCACTGTCTCTTTGTGGTTTTAGAGAATGCACATGATAAGGTCCTAGTGGGGAATTGTGGTACTGAGACAGTCGGGAGTGGCAGAGAAGTATGTGATGGACATGCAGGTCATGTATGTGGCCAGTGAGACAGTTGTTAGGTGTAGCTGGAGTTATTGTCTTTATATATGCCCAAGTGGGAAATAGTCATTTGTTATTTGATTGACTTTTTTTGTTTTGTTTTTAGAACCAAATAGCAGTATTGTAGGTATTACAATTTTTTAACTTAGTGCTGATTTGAAGTAATATCTGTGAATATGTAGGGCAGAGGCAGGGGCTCAACAGTGTGACTGAGTGGTTTGTCATTGAATTACCTTATCACCTTTAAAACCAATCCCTGGTAGTCCACGATTTCCTCTGGGACCTTCGTGTCCTCGATCACCCTAAAACACAAAACATGTCACAGTTGTGATTGCAGTTCACGGTGATGAGGTGGGGGGTTTTTGCATGTACTGAACTAATCAATGAGACATTTTCTGATTCTGTAATTTGTGAGATAATTCTGTTCTGTTTAGCGCTACTTTGCACCTGCAGGGGGGAAAAAAATCAAAATTCTGTTTTGAGAGAGAGAGAGATAGGGTGAGAAAGAGAGAGAGTGTTTAGGGAGTGAGTGACAATTTACAGTAGAAACAAAGTTCATATTTAAAAGTACTAATCACAGACCATTGATTCCAATATTACAGATTCAATTTTTATGACAAATGTATATAAAAATATAATTTATATGGTTAAGAAGTGTCAAAGTTTTTTTTATTTTTGTTACGCTGACTAATTCTGACCATTCACTGTCGTGCACCAAAGTCCATTTGGAATATCATTCTCTTTTACCTGGCTAACTGTGGCTAGAGATTTTGTTGCTAAGATTTCATTTAGCACGGCCTCTTAGTGGAGAATAATTGATAAAGTGATGAAAACCTGAGTTTCCTGTGGTAAAAATGAGTCCCGCCGTTTAGTTTTATGGTTTAAATCTTTTTTTTCTCTTTCGTCTTTAGGGTTGGTTTGCTTAACTCACCTTTGGTCCAGGAATTCCTTCACCCGGTGCCCCAGGGTTTCCTTGTGGTCCGACTGGTCCTGGAGGTCCCTGAAAAAGGAGAATTGAGCAGTGAGTTTTTTTTTTCAATGGTTTCTATTTTTTTCTAATTTTAATGTGATACGAAGTAAATCAAAAAGTTAATGGAGAGTAAGACAAAACCTAATCATTATTATATTTTAAACTCACTAATTGTCCTGGTTCTCCAATCCCAACTGGACCTACAGGCCCTTGTCTTCCCTGGAGGCCCTTCTCACCCTGTTAACAGAAAAAGTCACCAGTTAACAATGTGAATGTGGAAAAAAAGAATGAAATGTTTGGATCAGCCTTGATAATTTTTTGTTGGAACTTCTAAGAAAATACACAACACTGTTAAATATATTTGGAAAAATACTGCTTGTTAGGTTATTAAATTTAAAGGTGTTACCTTGGGTCCTGGAAAACCAATGCCAAATTCTCCTGGTGGTCCTGGAACACCACTGGGCCCTCTGTCTCCCTAGAAAACAACATTTAAATGTTTTACTTATTATGTTTTTAATCCTTTGACTTAAGTGAAACATTAAAAATTAGTTTAGGTTTATTCTGTGTCCAGGGCAATTATTTAAAAAATGCCCCCTCATGGTGTGCCAAATGTAATTACACAGAGTGCTGTAATGAAAATAACAATGTATAACAGTGATTCCCAACCTTTTTGAGCCACAGTAATATTTTTCAATAAGAAAAGTCAAACCATCAAAACCAGTTCTCCTAAAGAACAAAAAGACAGACATTTGTTGCCATCTAGTGGAAGTATTTAAATGTTTCACTTGTAACTGTTGTATAGTCATCAGATAGATTAAATGGATAAATTTAAAAAAAACATTAATGATAAATTAAGTGAAATTGGATAATTTTCTATATATAGAATTGAATCTGTCCATCCATCTATCTATTCATTCATCCATCCATCTATTTATCTATCTATTCATCCATCCATCTATTGATCCATCCATCTATCTATTCATCTATCCATCTATCCAACCATCTATCACCCATCTATCATCCATCCATCTATCATCCATCCATCCATCTATCTATTCATCCATCATCCATCCTTCCATCCATCCATCTATTCATCCATCTATCTATTCATTCATCCATCCACCCATCTATTTATCTATCTATTCATCTATCCATCCATCTATTCATCCATATATCTATTCATCCAACCATCCGTTATCCATCTATCCAACCATCTATTATCCATCCATCTATCTATTCATCCATCCATCTATCATCCATCCATCTATCTATTCATCCATCCATCCGTCATCCATCTATCCAACCATTCATCCATCTATCATCCATCCATCTATCTATCCATCCATCTATCATCCATCCATCCATCTATCTATTCATCCATCCATCCTTCCATCCATCCATCTATTCATCTATCCATCCATCCATCCATCTATCTGTCTATCAAAATTCACATTAGTGTCTTATGACATGATGTACTCAGAATTGTAACACCTGGTTCTGGAATTTTTGCACAGGGATAAAGTGTGAGAAGTATACAACTTTACTTTGGTGATCTGATCTGAAGCAGGCCTTGTTGCTGAGATAAAAACTCTTAAATTATCTCCTTTTTGTTTTGCTGACCGTGACATATTTCATTCATTTCATTTCCACTGCGCAGAAAGACGTCTTTGTTAAAAAGCAGCAGAGAGAGCACTCTGTGGTGATGGAGACATCAGCATCTTATTAGCCTTGGGCTCAAATTCTGAAGGTCATTTTCACGCTGCCTTTCCTGTGACTGACAATACACACGTTGTGTGGAAATGGGCCTGGGAAACACTATGAATGATGGCAGATGAAGATATCTGTTCAGAGATAATACTAAACTGAAACCATCCAGAACATCCAAAATGTCACGACTGTGGTAATTTCCTACATATGACAAAAACAAATGACAAATTGTTTGTATATTACTGCAACAGGAAGATAAATAACAGCACATAAATTAATGTGTTTGACTAATCCAAATGATTTAGGGATGTTTGATATTAACATTTTGCCAATATCCAATATTGTCCAAACACTTAATTTCCAATTCCGATATCAGCCAATACTGATATAGCAGGGCAGTGGTGGCCTGGTGATTAAGGAAGTTAGGTGCCGCCTGCTCACTAACGTGAGGTTAAAGCATACAATCCCCTGATTATTAAAATTGAGCTGCAATGCTGCCATCTAGTGACTTTCACTTTTATATACAGCCGTTTTTCCCTAAAACTTTCTAAGGGAACACATCGTTTGGCAGGCATTGCGCTATTGGGTTCTCATTAACAGAGGAATATTACACAATTATGCTACTATCGGGCAATCTTATCGGACATCCCTACAAATGATGGATTCATCAATATAGAAATTGTCAAATCTGAAAGTGTAACTCAGAATTTAGCTTCAGAGACATTTGGCTGAATGTGATCAAGAAGGTCAAGATGCTGTAGTAGAGTTTGGTCATCAACACATAAACTAAAATTACATCTAGTTTAATGTTTGATTTGGCCAAAGGAGCTGGAGACAGGTAGAAATGAAATATTTGACTCTGATATAGTCAGTTTCATATGGTCTTACACATGTCAGTACTGTGTTAGTAAATTATATGTAACTAAGTAAATGGGTTTAATTATGTTAGCTTTTTTAAAAAACCTACTTTCGGTCCAGCTTGGCCCTCGGAACCAATGTCTCCTGGTGGTCCAACCCAACCCTGGAAAACAAAATCAAAATGTTCAAGGGTCAAAGTTCAAGGTGCATGGTTTATTTAAAGTTTGCCATTGTATTTACATACGGTGAATTTTCTGTTTCACGCAGAGACATTAATAATAGAAAAATACTATATGAAGAATATAAGTATTTACTAAAAAAAAAAAGCAGCAGAGAGAGCACTCTGTGGTGATGGAGACATCAGCATCTTATTAGCCTTGGGCTCAAATTCTGAAGGTCATTTTCACGCTGCCTTTCCTGTGACTGACAATACACACGTTGTGTGGAAATGGGCCTGGGAAACACTATGAATGATGGCAGATGAAGATATCTGTTCAGAGATAATACTAAACTGAAACCATCCAGAACATCCAAAATGTCACGACTGTGGTAATTTCCTACATATGACAAAAACAAATGACAAATTGTTTGTATATTACTGCAACAGGAAGATAAATAACAGCACATAAATTAATGTGTTTGACTAATCCAAATGATTTAGGGATGTTTGATATTAACATTTTGCCAATATCCAATATTGTCCAAACACTTAATTTCCAATTCCGATATCAGCCAATACTGATATAGCAGGGCAGTGGTGGCCTGGTGATTAAGGAAGTTAGGTGCCGCCTGCTCACTAACGTGAGGTTAAAGCATACAATCCCCTGATTATTAAAATTGAGCTGCAATGCTGCCATCTAGTGACTTTCACTTTTATATACAGCCGTTTTTCCCTAAAACTTTCTAAGGGAACACATCGTTTGGCAGGCATTGCGCTATTGGGTTCTCATTAACAGAGGAATATTACACAATTATGCTACTATCGGGCAATCTTATCGGACATCCCTACAAATGATGGATTCATCAATATAGAAATTGTCAAATCTGAAAGTGTAACTCAGAATTTAGCTTCAGAGACATTTGGCTGAATGTGATCAAGAAGGTCAAGATGCTGTAGTAGAGTTTGGTCATCAACACATAAACTAAAATTACATCTAGTTTAATGTTTGATTTGGCCAAAGGAGCTGGAGACAGGTAGAAATGAAATATTTGACTCTGATATAGTCAGTTTCATATGGTCTTACACATGTCAGTACTGTGTTAGTAAATTATATGTAACTAAGTAAATGGGTTTAATTATGTTAGCTTTTTTAAAAAACCTACTTTCGGTCCAGCTTGGCCCTCGGAACCAATGTCTCCTGGTGGTCCAACCCAACCCTGGAAAACAAAATCAAAATGTTCAAGGGTCAAAGTTCAAGGTGCATGGTTTATTTAAAGTTTGCCATTGTATTTACATACGGTGAATTTTCTGTTTCACGCAGAGACATTAATAATAGAAAAATACTATATGAAATTTTCATTAATAATAGAAAAATACTATATGAAGAATATAAGTATTTACTAAAAAAATACAGCATATACATATTTGAGTGTTTGTACATAAATATATCACTATTTTTATTTTTCACCTTTTCACTTTTCACAACATGTTAGCCCATACTGCACATTTTTATCAGCCACAAAGTATTGATCATAAAAATATTTCAGTGTGGACTACTTGCAAGTACACAGACTTGTATTACTGAAAGTACAGTAATCAAGACTGTTGTATACTGTTGAGTTCATTTGTACCACAGTTTAGAACCAGGGATGACCAGGGAATAAATGACCAGGTCACACTGAACTGACACCAGTATCACAGACATCACAGTGTACCACTGACCATGTAGCATAACTGGCTAATCCCACTGAACACAAGTCTGTTCTGGCAAAGAATAATATTCTGCACCATGGGATTCACTGTGTCAAAAAGACACATTAAAATCAGGATTACTCATAATCCATATCACATTCCATAAGTGCAGAGCTGAATCACGGACGAATTCCTCTCCTGTTTTCCACAGTGAGCCAACCCTGTGACGGAGTGGGAGATGTGACAGCATGGTAACCCTGACATTTAACACCAAAGGTATTGTACGTTGACATTTTTACAAAGTCACAGAATCACTAACACAATTTGGTTTCTCACTGATTTCTTTATGCCCTTTGTTCTTATTCATTTTTGAATGGAGAGCTCTCCAGTGTCTCTTCAACTTCAATACTGATTTTCTGCATGGATTTTTGGCTTTTTGCCTTCAGTCCAAAAATATCTCTGAATATATGTGTAATTACCAGATATTGTTGACCAAATTGTGTTTTTTCCTGTTTTACCTTATGTAAGAACCCAACATTGTTATTTGTATCTACTGACAGCAGTCGACAGTAAAATTCTATTTTTCTTAAGTTCAAAAACATACATCCACTTCACCTGTTCTCCTTTCAGCCCTCTTATGCCTGGTGGTCCTTCAGGTCCCTATAAATGACATTGAATTTAACGTCAAAGTCTGAAGTCTCAGTAAGTCTCAGTATTCTCAGTAAGTCTCTTGATTGATGGAACTATTTAAGACTACTTCATAAACCTAGACCCTTACTGTGTCTCCCTTGGACCCAGGAGTTCCACATTCTCCTCTGTCCCCCTGTAGGAAAACAAACATCAAGGTTATTTTTGATGATCAGCCAGCTGCCAATGTTGGAAGTCAGAAAACTCACCTTGTTTCCCTTGTAACCTGGACGACCCTGTAGGAGAGTGAACAGTTTAGAAGACACACACCATTGTTTTATCATGTACATAAAGACAAGAAGGAGAAACTCCTCTTACCTCTTGACCATTACTTCCAGGTCGGCCACTTAATCCAGGATCTCCCTTTAGAGTAAACAAGGAAACCTGTTCATTCAAACTCATCAAAGTCCATTTAAGGAAGCGGTGTCAAACTCATTTCCACTAGGGGGCCACATCAGCAGTACAGTTCCCCTTGAAGTTCCCTAGTTGTAAATGGAAGACTGTATAGATGTAACTACTCCATAACGTATTATAATACATGTTTCTGCAAATTTATATTATTTATTCAAGTACCAAATACTGTTCATTGCTGTGTGATAAAACAATATGTTAAATTTATCATGGTAAGTAACTCTTTATTAAATGCTTTTTAAGCTGAGGCATACAAAATGACTTGGCGGGCCACATTTGGCCCCCGGGCCTTGAGTTTGACACACAGTTGTTTGACACAGTTTGACACACAGAAACATGTCAACAAGTCATGGAATTATTTAGTATTTAGTATTTTAAAACACAGTAAAAAAAAAACCCCTGCAAAATTACATTTAAAAAAATCTCTCCATCAGAATTTTATTAACATTTTTGTTATATTGTTTATTTATTTTATTTTATGTATTACTGTTTATTTATTGTAGTACTCTTTGTTTAATCTCTGTACCTTTGTTTGGAGTGGGTTGGGAAATAATGGGGAAATGCGAGTTTTTTATCATGTTGAACTGTTGTCTCGATTCATGTGAATTTTCTTTCCCCCCCCCCCAAAAAAAAATTAAGACACAATAGGACTTACTGATGCTGGAATTATTTAATCTAATATTAGTTAAATAAGTCCTGTTGTAATCACTGGAAAGCCGCTGACCTTTTTTTAAGGACTTGCAAAGGTAAAAAGTTAGTTTCAAACAGAAATGAAACTATAATGACAAAAACAATCTGATTGGATGTGCAGTGCCGAGCTCATCATCATCATCACAGTCAGCATGACTACTGTCACCTTTACATTGTTTATGTTCTGACTCACCCTGGATCCTTTCAGACCTGGGGTTCCTCTGAGCCCTGGTTCTCCTTTTCTTCCCTACATGTAAAAGATTTGATGCATGAAAAAAAAAATCAATGTTGCTTTAAATATTTTTGGATGAAATCAAACCAGGCTAACACTACATCCTGTATGTTTTTTTTTTCATCCAGATGGTTTTGTAAAGGTGAAGATAACTTACTGGACTCCCGGGAGACCCTGTCTCTCCTCTTTCACACACACATGTCTGGGCCTGTGGACACTGACACAGAGAAATCCAAGGTAAGTACAGGTAAGTAAGATATTTTAACAGTCAGAGAGAATATGTGGGTCTTTAGAAGACGTTACCTCGTCTTTTGCCACTGCACTCTGGAAGACAAAATACAAAACATGTCAGTGACGGTAAAATAACAACTCGGTCACACTGGAAGAACACGTAGTACACTTTGTATCTGCTGTGGAGTCGTCTGAATGTAAACGCGTTCCACTGCCTTGGAGACCTTCTGCAGACATTTGACATTTGTGTCACAGTGGAAAATGCAAAGAAGGAAGAGGAAAGTCCCTCAGAGCAGTTGGGACAAAGTTGTGTGTCTAAAGCATGACCTCACCGAGAGGACAGAGAGGACTGAAAACTAAGACGTCCACACAGGGTATGTATCTTTTAAAAGACAGAAACTAGAAAGAAAGTATTTTACAAATTCGACACATGATACATGTTTGGACATGATGATTTTTTTCATAATCTAAATGTTCTTATTGTTTGCTGCTCGGATGCTCGTCTAGGTTCATGATATGATATGATAAGCTACTGTGATTCCTTTTTTGTTTAACTAACGTGAATGTCATTTTGTCCCTAACTCACTTTCACATACACTCCAGACCACAGGTGCCCAATCCCTGGTCTGGGGACCTGTACCTGTCCATAGGTCATTTGGTACTGGGCCGCAGTGAGACACAGTGAAAAAATGTACTTCAGTTTTACTAATTTACTTCATTCCAAAAGAATAATAATAATAATAATAAGATAATCTGACAAAGGTTCAAAACAACAGGTCATTCAGACTGAAAATTCACTGATCCTTTAACGATGGCGCGGTTGTTACTGGTCCACAGTAACGACTGATACTGGCCAACCGGTCCTTAGCACAAAAGAAGTTGGGGAGCACCACAGAGTGTGAGAAGTTGTGAAATGTGTTCAGAAGCTACAGTACTATATGAAGAGAAACGAGGAGTTTGTAAAGAGCAGTAAGTTCAACCACAACATTTTTGGGAAAGTCCTGTGATCCTTCATATTGTAGTTGCAACTCCATTCGATAATTATGCTGTAGTCCAGTGAGTACATCTGTACTGAGCAAGGGTGTGGCAAAATATCGATACTACAATACATGACGATATTTATTCTTGCAGTCGTTATCAATATACTGGCTGCCGATATTGATATTTAAACCGGTTCTTTTTTGATTTTTCAAGCCTCCAAATGATGGTGCTAGAGACTACTGCGGGGAAGAGGACATGTTGGCACATATCAAAACAAACTAGCCAGCATTTGATATGTGGCTTTGTGTGCTGGGACCCTATTTGTACTACGGTACAGACAAATATTTTCTCCGGGGGTCACATGTTCTCCTCCATGTCAAGGTACATTAGGCTTCTGTACACAGTTATCGTGATTTATTGTGGATGAAATTTATTGCAGAATATCGATTATCGCAAAATCCCTATATTGCGATAGTGTCGTATGGCAAGCTACTTAAAAGAGATTCTTTCACAAAAACCTGCTTTTTTTCCAGATCTTGCAGAAGTGTCCACATGATGGCGCCAGAGGCAACTGCGCAGAAGAGAGTACTCGTGCCCATATCAAAACAAGCTAGCCAGCATTTGATATGTGGCTTTGTGTGCTGGTACCCTATGTGTATTGTGGTACAGACCAATATTTTCTCATTGAAGCCTGTACTCACCATCTCTTTGAGCAGTTTTTCACTCAGCTTAACATCCAGAAGACTGTGGACAAACTGCTTAGCTGGTGCACTGGCCACGGCCCGGAGCTTGGCCTTGTTCTGATTCTGCTCAGCAATGTCAGACAAGCCCACTGTGAAGAACTTAATGCCGTGATCTTTAGCCTCAGCTGCAGCCGCAATCACGTCTGGGTTTCGAGGATGGTCCACGCCATCTGTCATCAACAGGACCAGCCGTACACTGTGGGGTGGGGTCTCATGCACGAGCATTTGCGAGGCGTTTGTGATGGCGTAGGTCGTGTCGGTTCCATGGCCAATGTAGCTCATGGCGTTCACACTGCTGTGGAAAGAGTCCAGGTCTTTCCAGGCGGAGAATCGTTGCTCCACAGACACGTAGCTGCTGTACTGAAGCGCGGCCATTCGCATCTCTAACGTCCAGCCGGTCACCTTCAGAGCAGCCAGCTGTGTGCTGAAGCCCAACACAAAGGCCTTCTGCTTCTCAAACAAGAACGTCTTAGCACTTTCAGAGCTGTCCACGATGAAGGCCACCTCCAGGGAACACGGCTGACCTGTGGGAAAAGGAGAGCAAAACTAAAAGTGACGTTTAAGTATCAGCTCTTGCAGCTGATCTTGTTCTTTAGCATGGCAACAGATGTTACAAAACAACTGGAGGAACTGATGCTATGCTTTTTTTTATATAAGCAGAGGTTGTCCGTCCTGTCCTGGATATTCTCCAGTCTCACTGACTTTTTCCAGCGGGAATTTGCCTTCTCCTCCTTCATCATTGTCCTGCAGCTTGTAGCTGTTCCTGCTTCCGCTCCTCCTCCTCTGGCCCGAGGTCTCCTGCAGGAGAGCCAGCGGCAGCAGCAGAAGGCAAAGCCCTGCTCCTCTCGTCAGCTCTCTCCTCCACAACATTTTGACTTCTAGCTGGAGATTCCAAAACAGCCATTGCACAATTTTCCAATTGAATTATGGATTAATTACAAAAAGAAAAAGAAAAATACACATTGCATGGAGAAAAACACGCTTATGTCTATATTATATCATAATACTCACTTTAGAATTTAAAATTTTCCAACTACAATTTGTGAGTTAGATACTACCTGGAAAAAAGTGATAAAGAAATTTTGGTTATTTTTTTAAGTAAATAATTCAGTAATTCAGTTTGCCTTTACTAAACGGCTGTTTTTAAAAATAATACGTGGCCATAAAAGTTTTCTTAATATTGGTCTTGTCACTATACAGTACCTTGTCTCCTCTATATTGCTGCTGTGTAAAGGTTTATTGTGGTGTTAAATCTGCAACATACTATAAACCCACACATGGATAAGTCATTTAAAACAATACAAACACATGCAAAAAAAAAAAAAACGTTTTACCTTCGGTGTCCTTTAGCTGCAGTCAGTGTCTGTGGTCCAGGCAGATGTGAATCTGTGAGAAGACATATCTCTGCAGGACCTGGTCCCTGAAAACCACAATCTGTTAGATCAAGAACGACCAGTAGTAGAGCTGAAGTTCTGTGCTGTGTGTGTGTGTATGTGTGTGAGTATAGTCTGGGGATCTGGGGCCGCGCCAACATTTCTGTGTTGGTCCATTTCAGCTTTAAAAGATTCCCATTTGTCCTGACGCTGCTGTTCACACACACTGTTCCCACTGTTCCTGTGGGAATATTACTGGAATATCAGAGCTGAATCCATAAATTACAAGTGCTAAATCTAAAGACCAAAAAGATTTATGTTGTTATATAAGAACAGTTAAAACATAAAAGATGTTTAGGTACTGGTTGAAATCTGTAGAGAACTCAAGCTTCAACATACAGTATGTGAACGAAATCATTTTAATTTCTATTAAATGTTTTTTTTATTTCAACAAAGTGGGTAAAATGTTCCACAATTAACATAAAATATTTTTTATAAATTATGTAACGATAAAAAAAGAAAATAATAGTGACCATAAACTGAATAAACAAACAAATCAAACTAGTTTACATTAAAACTAATTTTAATTAGAAAAGAATGTATATGTTGTTAAAAAAAACATAATAGTTAAACCCAGTGAGTGATTCTACCTGACGGTCAATAGATAATATTCTGTTTCCTCTGTTCATGTTTTGACATGTTGTACCTGGAGAATGTTTGGACACTGTGAGTAAAAACCCACACATGAGATTATTGTTCTGTTCCACTCTCGCCCACTGATGTGAAAACCAGATGAGTGGTGTGATGAACTTTTCCCAAGCACAACACAAAAAATTGGCCTCTCTTTTAGGCAGGCAGTTCTGTGTGTAATGTGAAACTGAAATGTACAGGAAAAATAAAGTCATTCTCATGTGATCTGTCAGGTTTAAGTTAAGGTTAATGACATCAGTATAGTCTACCATTAAAAGTAAGAAAAATATATAAAACATTATTACCCTTTTCACCCTTTAAACACTCCTGTAAATGGAACTACTACTTTTAACTGTATTATTTAATTTTAAAAAAAAAGATAATGAATATAAGAGTTATGGTGGACCCTTTGCTTTTTCTGAAAACCCGTGTAAACAAATATTTTCAACCACATTTAAACAGTTTAATATTTAAATAATTCCATTAGAAGCTATTGTGTTTATAATGTATTTTATTTATTGTTACTTATTTATTACTTGTTATTTATCATTTTTACTTCTAGACTGGTCGGCAAACAGACTTAAACAGACAAACAAAGTTACAATGTGAGTATACACCCACAAAACATAATTAAAATGTATTTACTTTTGATTCTTGCCTCTAAAGACCAACTATACAATACCTTTACAAAACTCTTAACACCCCTGTGGGTGTGTCGATTTATTTGTTGATTATGCTGCCCTCTTGCGGTTAGACTGACTCAGCTTAAACTTAAACCGGAACAGCGTCATTGGTGCTTGTGTCAACACGAACCGTTTTTGTGAAACACAAAACAATATCCCGGGCTCGGACTTGAGTCCTTCACGACATGTGTTTATCTCAATTTAACCCGCGGTTTTCACTCTATAGTCTCTGAGTGTATGCGTGAGTAAAACAATTTTCTTGACATAATGTCCTGTGCCGTAGTAACTGCCTGCTGCTACTTCTGTTATCTCATTAGCATTTTTTAAATTCCGCCCTGTAGTTCGTAGTAGCATTAGCCTCCTTCAGCTAGCATGACAGCAAACTTTGAACTTTTATTTTTAAAGTCCGCAGGTCTAGTTGTGCATGGCTAAATGTGGATTTTTATGTCGGAGAAGTATGTGCGTACACACTGGACTTTCTTAGTTTCTTGGCTGAGAGGTGAAAAGTGTTGAAGAATCCAAGAAAGTCCAGTTGCCCTATACTTAATTGCTTCGGACTGTGTAAACAAAAATGAAATATTCTGTAATTAACAATTTTTTGACTTTAATATTAGGTTCTCATTTTGTATAAAATGTTTGTATCTGTTGTATTTCACCTCGGCTCCTTTTTTGCTACTTGGCCACAGTACCTTTTAAAATGACGTGTTTCCTGCACATGTTTTAAGGTTTCTTGGACGTTATAGTTCAGACTTATGGTAAATAATAATAAAAAAATATGTATAGCTTGTGGAAATTTCATTGTTGTTTTTTTTTTTTTTTTATCTTTTAGGTATGGATAAACAAATTCCATTGATCTTTCCATATCTGCCCCTGAATCATGAGTGGTTCGAAACCCGACATATTGTGGTCTCCTCACCACCCTGATCGCTATGTCATCTGTGACTCTGAACTGGGACTCTACAGGATTGGCCCTTTGGGTGGTGCAGAGACTAAAGCAGGGACTCTCCCACTGTCTGAGGAAACTGCAGCAACTTTACTAGCCATTAACTCAGACACACCGTACATGAAATGCGTGGCCTGGTACCCGAAACATGAACCCGAGTGTTTGCTTGCTGTGGGCCAAGCTAATGGTAGAGTGGTGCTCACCAGTTTGGGCCAGAGCCACAACTCCACATGTAAGGATTTGGTGGGGAAAGAGATTGTACCCAAACATGCCCGCCAGTGCAACACTCTAGCCTGGAACCCTGTGGACAGCAACCTGTTGGCTGCTGGACTGGACAAGCACAGAGCAGACTTTTCAGTCCTCATATGGGACATCAGCAGCAAGTTTTCTCCGGAGACCAGTGTGGCATCTGAGAAGATTCGCCTCTCTTCTGTGGACTTGGACTCCAGCTCAGTCCTAACTAAACCCCTCTATGAACTGGGCCAAAATGATGCCTGTCTCTCCCTCTGCTGGCGACTCCGTGACCCAAAACTGTTGTTGGCCGGTATGCATAGGAACCTGGCAATATTTGACCTGAGGAACACAAGTCAGAAAACATTTGTCAACACTAAGGCCATCCAGGGAGTGACGGTGGACCCACACTTCCCCGACCGTGTAGCGTCCTTCTTTGAGGGTCAGGTGGCGATCTGGGATTTGAGAAAGTTTGAAAAGCCTGTGCTCACGCTCACTGAGCAGCCCAAGCCACTTACCAAGGTATAAATGATTTCTGTTGTTAGTGTTATTAACATAAGTTTGAACTACTACAGACTGGGAGTACATTAGAAAAAGGCTTAATTCCTTTCTATCCATTGTCCCAACTTAGATTACATTACATTACATACTGTATTTAAGCCTCACAGGGGGAAAGATTATACAAACACAAATAATTACGGATGTCCAGTAATATTGGCCAATATTAGTCTTGTCATGTAATATCGATAAGAATCGTTATCGTTTTTTCCTACGATTAATGAAAACCAAGTAACGCAATGCCTGGGTTTGACCTAGATGATGTGACATAAAATACTTTTGAAGAAAAACTGTTAATTGTATTTTACAAAATATAGAAAATTGGACACAGTGAAACATGGCCTCTCCCTTTAACCCCAAGCAGCTGCATATTGTGGTATGGGTTGATATTGGAATCAGAAATTAAGTGTCCAAAATTGAATATTGGCAAAAGGTTAATATCGGACATCCCTTTAAATTATTAATCTTTTTTGATTTTCGATTTTATTTTATTTATTACACTTATTCTGTCTAATGTCTGTCAATTTTGTTTTTAAAACTAAATCAAAAGCTAAGAGTTAGTCTCAAGATGGGAAAAGCGTAGGGACCTTACTTTTTTGTTTGTGTGGAAGCTTTGAGGTCATGATGTCATATATCTTGCAGGTGGCGTGGTGTCCAACTCGAACTGGCCTCTTGGCCACACTCACACGTGACAGCAACATCATCCGCCTCTATGACATGCAGCACACCCCCACACCCATCGGTGATGAGACAGAGCCCACCATCATCGAACGGAGTGTGCAGCCCTGCGAGAGTCAAATTGGCAGTTTTGCTTGGCACCCGTCTTCTCAGAACCGCATGGTGGTGGTGTCGGCAGCGAACCGGGTCATGACTGACTTCACTGTGTTTGAGCGCATCTCTCTGGCCTGGAGCTCCACCACTTCGCTCATGTGGGCGTGCGGCAGACACCTGTACGACTGTGCGGAGGACGGTACGGAAGGGTTGGAAAATGCCATTGAGAAAGACATCGCTACTAAGATGAGGGAGAGGGCGCTGTCCAGATATGGACACGACACTGTGCATGTTTGGAGGAACCACCTTCTGGCTGGAGGGAATGATCCTCAGCTGAAGTCTTTGTGGTATGACCTGTACTATATCCTTTGTGATCTTGTGTAGTAGGCATTTTCATTTTTTTAGTTTATAAGATATATATTAGCCTATTTTAGACAACACCAAGTCAATATTTGTTCTTTTTTGTTGTTGTTGGTTTGTCAAGGGAGAATACACAGTTACATGTGCAGAATGTGTCCTCCCCAGGTCTTCTTTGTTAGTTTGTCACTGACACTTTGAGGTCTAGTCAAACAGATTTGTAACCCCCAACTTTAGGCCGATGTTGAAAGCTTAGATAAGATGCATCACACCTGCCATTGCTTGGTGAGTTGCACTGTTTTGTCTTCTTTGTCCCTTCTAAATCTGCCTTTGTAAGCATTTACTGTTCCTTTAAACATCGGTTCAAATTCCTATGTAAGTATCACATATGAAGCAGTGTGCAGAGGACACGGAGCTGAAACTGCAGGGCAACAAACAGTCTGTTGTTTACTCTGGAATCAAGAACATCGTCAAGACAAGTTCAGGTGAGAAACCTGAAAATTTCAACAGAGTCAATTGAGGCCTGTCTGTTTTTCCACATGAGCTTTGTTTATGTTTTTAGGCACAACGGAGAGCCACAAGTGCTGGAGTGGCTCCGACCGTCAGACAGACGTGACCCGCTATCATAGTGAGGAGCGATGTCTCGCCCTGCGGCTGTGTGGGTGGATCAGCCGGGGACCTGAGATCGACGTGGATGTCTTCCTGAGATCACTGGAACTGGAGAAGGAGTGGGAGCGAGCGGCAGCTGTCGCTCTTTTTAACCTGGATATTCGCCGCGCCATTCAGATCCTGAACAAGGGAGCCACAGCTGAGAAAGGTCAGCAGAGTGGGCAAAGCTGTGGACGCAAGAAAAAGTGTCACCTTTCTAACGTAAAAAAAAAAAATGCTATTAAGTATTGAAGAACCAGTTGATGGCCAAAGCGTAAAACCTCCTGTGTAAAAAATGCACTTGAGAAAAAAAAAAAGCTTCCTTTTAATATATGTTCTAAATCCACCATTTTCTGAAGGAAGAGTTTTTTTTGTCTTACCTATAGCAATAAAGATATTGCTGGTGGAATTTAATTTAATTAATTATGCAGCCCCGCCACTAGATGGCACTAAATTGGGTATTTGTTTTTTATAAAGCTACTTTATCTTTTTCTATTTGTTCTAACTTTTAACTATTGTTTCTGATTTATGACAATGTGTGTACTGTGGAAACCAAATGGAACATTTTCCTGGTTGCAAAAAAATCACTAAATGCAAGCTTTAAAATCCCCACCATGGGCATGTTAGACTTTAACAAAAAAGTGTCCTTGTTCAGTACAAACATGATTAGTGAAATGATATCCCAGAACTGTGTCAACATTGTTACTCCGTTAGAGCCATTATCAGCACAAAATCCGCTGTTGTCCACTTTGTTTTTCACACTGTGGTTTAATTGAAAACAGAGCTGCTGCTGCTGCTGCTGCTGCTGTTCTTGTTTACACATGTCTTGGTCTCAAGAAAAATTTCATGTAGGAATGTAGGTCAGACATTTTTCAGCTGTGAGCTCTAATGAGGCTTTCCTGAGCTTGACTGATGAGCTGATTCATTAGATGAGGCATGTCAGCAGTTACACTGTTGTTCCTCAAACATGCACTAAGCTTTTTTTTTTTGTTCTCTTAACCGCGCTTTACTCTGGAGTTCACGTTACTGGCTGCTGCTTTTTGACATTCTATTAAGACACACAGTGATGTCATTCTCTGTAGTGAGAGTTCACACAGGGGAAGAAATGTGCATTTTGGGTTGCATTTGTAGAGTAACTTTTAAGTGTTTTGCCAACCTTTTATGTACTTGTCCTTGTTGTTCTCAGGTGACCTGAATTTGAACGTTGTAGCCATGGCTCTGTCGGGTTACACTGACGATAAGCTGTCTCTGTGGAGGGAGATGTGCAGCTCTCTGCGGCTGCAGCTGAAGAACCCCTACCTCTGTGTGATGTTTGCCTTTCTCACCAGTGAACCTGGATCATATGACGGCGTGCTGGTACTGAAAAGTCAAAATGTTACACTTAAAAGATAGTTTTCAGTTGATACAAAGTACTGGTTTGATCAGAACCATCAACACACACTGTGATAGTGAAGCCTTTGTCAATGTTTCAGTATGAAAGCAGTGTCGCTGTGAGGGATCGGGTTGCCTTTGCCTGTATGTTTCTCAGTGATGCACAGGTAATTGATCAGCACGACTCTCACCATAATATATGAACAAGATTTTCTGAAGACTGCTGGAGAGTTTGTGTTGATGAACTTTTATTTGTGTGGTTGCAGCTAACACGTTACATTGACAAACTGGCCAATGAGTTGAAGGACATGGGAAACCTGGAGGGAATCCTACTGACAGGCCTGAGTAAAGATGGAGTTGATCTAATGGAGAGTTACGTGGACCACACGGGAGATGTCCAGACGGCCAGTTTCTGCATGTTGAAGGTAAAACGGCACACAACAACAACAGACCTGGGAAGATGTGGATGATAAACATGTGTGTGGTCAGAAACTGTCGGTCAGTGAACGCAGATACTGGTTTTACGCAAGACCAGTGGTTTCCAAACCTTTTTTGGCTTGTGACTCCATTTTGATGTCACTCCAGAGACATTTCTTTTTTTAAACAATCAAAAAGAGCTACTGCAGCATCACTGGCCACAGTGAAGATTAGAAAACTGGAAAGTAATAATTATTAGGTGCTAAAATATTCTTATCTGGCTTTTTTTTTTATTGCTAGACATTTTAGGTGACCCCATGTGAGGTCACAACCCCATGGTTGAAAAACACTAGGCCTTATATATATTCTATATATAAATATATATATTTTACTTTCCATTAATGTTTACAGACCCATTGCGCCACATAGGGGTTGCCGGCTTTAGTTAAGAAACAGGCTTTAGTTAATTCTATATTTTTAAAGAAACAGGCTTTAGTTAATTCTATATTAAGTTTTTTTTAGACTAATCAAACATAAAATCTCTTTGTTTCTCTCTCACACAGGGTTCCTCAGTTGATGTATTAAAAGACCCTCGAGTTCAATGCTGGATAGAAAACTACCGTAACCTGCTGGATGCCTGGAGCTTCTGGCACAAACGGGCCGAGTTTGACATTCACAGAGGGAAACTGGACCCCAGCTCCAAACCATTAGCGCAGGTAACAAGGATTTATAATTTATTAATGAATGTTAAGGGTAAAATGTGTGTGGATGAAAACACACACACACTGACAAGTTTTATTTATTATTTTTTAGACTTTGATGAAAATAAAGCACCATGCAACCAAGACCTGAAAAACATTGAATTTGTAAATTGGTGCAGAAATTTTAAATAACCCCAACTTGGTAATTATTTTCTTCATGCACCTTGTTATAAAAAATATGTGATTAATAGAGGTATGTAAACTTCAGTTATTAACAGTACTACACATTTTCTCAGTCTCAGTCTTATATACTTCCCTAACCTCATCAAAGTTATTTGTTTGTAATTGTTTGAAGTTAACTGGCTTCATTTACAGTGTAAAAGGAATTAACATTTACAGTTAAAAGTTCTAAACTTATATTTACTTAGTTTTTATGAGAACATCAGTGCTATTATCCAAACTTTCCGGGAGCCCCACGCAGTGAAGCTGCCCAGGATTATTACAGTATTATCTGTTACATGTTACTTTGTTTCTTGAAGATTTAATCCCAACAGCTGGTGGCCCTGTGCTGGTTGGTCCTGCCCTTTTGTTCACACTGACTTCTTATCAGTTGACCTTTGTGTTTGTTCCTGTCGTGGCAGGTGTATGTGAGTTGCAACTTCTGCGGGAAGTCCATCTCCTACAGTTGCTCGCCGATGCCCCACCAGGGCCGTGGCTTCAGCCAGTACGGTGTCAGCGGCTCGCCCACCAAGTCCAAGGTGACCAGCTGCCCCGGCTGCAGGAAACCACTGCCCCGCTGCGCCCTCTGCCTCATGAACATGGGCACGCCTGTGTCCAACTGTCCAGGTACAAGGAGACTGTATATAGAAAACAAGGTCCAGTAGACATCACCTTGCTTGAAACATTATGGTAAAAAATAATTAGCAGAATTAAACATTTCCAAAAATGTACAAAATGAAATAGTTATTTATTGAATGCAAGTCCTTCAATGACATATTCCATTGTTTGCTCCTCTCCACAAACACACATTAAGCTAGGACTACTGTCCTATTTTTGAAGGTGGGCCAATGTTTAGTCTTTAGTCCAGACTCTGTTGAGGATTGACCTCTGAGAGGTTGTTTCTGGGGACCATAGGTGGGGTCTGACACTGGGTATTGGTTCGGGGGGGTCACCTTGATCTTCCATTCCTTTTCCTAAGCTTGATGGGTGGTGAAATTTTTTTCCAAATTGGTTGTCTAGATGGTACACATGTAGTGGGTGGGTTGAAAATGTGAGCTTGCATTGGTAGATTTCAAGGAGTCTTTGACCATTTTGAGTGTCGTTTCATCATGTGATGCTTGCCAGATGTGTGGAGAACTGGTGTTTGATAAGACCAGGACTCAGGCGTTGGTGTTGAATAAATAGTCCCTATGATGATGCCTGTGTTGAGCTGCCTAGACCAAATAGTATTTTGCTGCTAAAAGGCCAGGGCCAGTGCTGAGGTAAACAGTGTGGGGGCTGCTGCCATCTTGAACCAGCAACTTGTCGAGCAGGTTCTTCCTGGACTTAATCTTTGCCACATGCTGGCAGTTTGGGAACTTTGCCACTGCAAAAAAAAAAAAAAAAAATTAACCCTGTAATATATAACATCAAAAAATACTAAAAGGTTAGCATGAAATTCCCACAAATAGCCGACAGATATCCAGGTATAGATGATGCCAAATGCTAGCTGTTGGGTTACACAAAGGTATAAAAGGCTGCGATGTGCAATCAAATCAAAATAAATAAAAACCTCCCAAGCCTCCAAAGATGAACGGTTTTGGTACTGTTCTGTAATTTTCATGAAGATTTAGCAGTTTTTGGAATGTGGGAGGAAACTGCTGTACAAGGAGAAACCCCCACACATAACCAGAGAACATGAGGGCTCCATAAAGAAGAGACAGGAACCAGTCATTTATTTCCTTTTTGAGCCTTACAATGTCTTTTGTAATGCATATTTTGTATTTTCTTTTTTATTCATTTTTTTTGTAGTCTAGTTGTAGTTACGGTTCCACTTGTACTACAGACAGGCCTACCTTCACAGTTACACAGTCACAGCCCTTTCCTTGTCATGAAGTAGTACCTAAACGTTTTACCAGAATACCTACAAAAAGTGTTGTAGTTGTACAGTAGTTTAACAGTGCTACTGCAGTCAGGTAAATAATAGTGAATGTGTTTGAATTTGACCAAGGCAAACTCTTGTGTAAACTTTTTGAAAGTTGTGCAACATCCAAATACAGTCGTTCCTGGAAACACCGAAACCTGTCTAGTTAAATGACCGATTCAATAGGTCACAGTTTTCTTTTACAGTTTTTACAGTTTATCGTTAAAACTGACTTCTGTTCATTGTTTGTCAGGAACAGGAAGGTCGGAGGAGAAGATGGACTTGAGCAGGGAGAACAAATTGGCTCAGTTCAACAACTGGTTCACCTGGTGTCACAACTGTCGTCATGGTGGCCATGCTGGTCACATGCTCAGCTGGTTCAGGTCAGATGCTACTGCTTATGTGTTTGGGGAATATTTGAATAATTGAGAAAACCATGTTGACCTCAGTGATAATGCTGTCCTCTGAGGAGCTTGTTTTTGAGAATACAACATTTCTAAACAATACCATCCTCAGAGTTTTGCCATAAATTTTATGTTTTTGTTTTCTGCTTTAGAAATTCTTCTAGTCTGTTCAGTCAACTGGTACATAAACTAATTCTTTGTCCCAGTCACAAAACAAATCAATATATCAATCTATTGTTTTGAACTGAAATCATTTAGCATTTTATATGTAAAGTAGTAAAATAATCCTTTAAATATTGCAAATATTGTTGTCTTGGCAATATCGGTTAATGTTTTCTGAATGACACAGTCTGCCATGCTGTATGCTATGTTTCAAAAATGTTAAAACTTCAGTAGTTGACATGCAGCTTCTTTTCAAACTAACCTCTACGTGTCCATTAACAGAGACCACACAGAGTGTCCTGTGTCGGCGTGCACGTGCAAATGCATGCAGCTGGACACTACAGGCAACCTGGTGCCTTCAGACAGCAGCTAAGAAGGTGGAGCCCATTGGACTGTGATGATGCCAACCATGATGAGGCCGACCAGTGAACGTTCACCACTGCAGCCGATACACGAATGACACGCCACCTGACCGACAGATGACAAGGCAAGAGGACAAAGGGAGACAGTGCCGTCACTCTTGGACGTGCAGCTCCTCAAATCATAACTTTAAGAACTGTTAAAGTGAAGTGACTATAACGTCATAACAGAGACGTTTCGGGGAAGTCAAGGCAGTGCGTGTTACTGATCACACTAACTGATGCAGAGTAACAGAAGGGGAGCAGAAAGAAATAGATGCTGCTCATAACTACCAATAACCCATAACCAAAGAGCAGCAGCAGCCAGTGCCGCATGTTAAAAATTCAACAAAATAGGACTGAAGAAGGAAGGAAACAAGCAGGAGCAAAAAAGTCAGAAACACAAAGTTTATATTATAATATATATATATATAATATTATTATATTACAGACAATCAAACAAAACATGTTATTGTAAACATGCAATACCGATACTGCAACAGGCTACTGTTGCTGTCCCTTTTTATAGCATGTTGCCCAAAGTTAAGTTGAGTGTTTGGCCTTAGATATCGGATTAGACAGACGATAATTGTGTTTATTGATGTTGGATCCTGAAATTTTGACCAATATCGGAATGATACTTATCCTGAGTGTCGGATAGAGCCATCCTAATAGTGAAGTCCGGTTTGGAACTGCATCATTCAAACATGCAGATTCAATGTATAATATTTTTCTGGGGACAAGTTGTACTTCAACTGGTCCTTGAAAAACTGCTGCTGCTGCTTCACCTCATGACATACAGTATCACTGAACCGAGTTGGAACTGAAGTCACAGAATAGCACATTTGAAGTCCTCAATGAAAGCTGCAGTATTTCAACAACTGTGTGATTTGATGTGGAATTAGGATTGTCTTTACGGGATTAGGTGTAGAGTGAATGCATAGCAGCGTTAACTGCAGTTCCTGTCAGGAAGGATGTTGTGATATTGATCTAACATGTTAAGATATAGACTCAAGTATGTTGGTAGAATCTAAAAATTGGTGCCGAAATAGAAAATAAATACTTTATATTATTCCTTTATGCATATTTGCTGCTTATGCATCTGTTGTGTCTTAGACCTGAATCAAGCCTGAGGTTTTATTATGATTGAGGTGAGAGTAATAAATCATGGAAATGTCCTGTAAAACATCAGGTTCTAAAGAGGTGAGCACACCACAGGTGCCAACAAGTCTGAGCTACCTTTTGTTGCGCTTTCTTTAACACACTATTTAACGTCTCATGAAAGGATCCCTACATTCCTCATCATGAGAGCATTGTCCAGGCGTTGAAGTGGCATGTTGTACACACACACACACACACATACACAAAATCAAAACTCCTCTTTTTAAAAAAAAAAAAATCTGTGTTCTACTCTGTGCCACTGTGCATCTGGCATTCTGCAGGGAGGGCTTCCAGCACGAGGGGGATGTGGAATTGGAGAAGGTCAGAGTAGAGGGGAGGAGGAGAAAGAGAAGGCGGTGTTGGAGGGAGGGGTGATTCTGTATTCAACAGACCACTGTAGGCCTGTGGTCCATGAAAGAAGCCCCCCCCCCCAAAAAAAGAAAAAAAAACAGCAGCTGCTCGGCACCCTGACAAGACCCTCCAGATTGTTCCCCTCATAAAGAGCCTCAGCTGCCGGAACACTATTGACTCAAAGAGACTGAAGCTTGTACACCCCCCCTCCCACCGCTCCCCGTTGCCTATCTTACACCCTCCCTGCTACATACACAGACTTGCCCTCTCTGTCTCTTTTATATTCTGTCCTTTCTCCATCTCTTCGGTGCCCAAATTGCACCCAAAAACTATGCATACCACACATCAGGCCAGGGACGGGCGCCGTCTGTGGAGTGGATGAGGAGGTTAGAATTTAAAGCAGGGAGGGGGTGCCTGCCATGTGTAAGCCTCTTCGTAAATTGATGTTTTTTGTTTCTGTTGCCCTCACCCATGCCGATCTGTCACTAAACCCAGGGAGGCATTGAAAGTGAGAGGGGCCTGCACCTCCACCACCACCAGAGCTGGCTAAATCACTTAGTCATGGAGGAGTAGGAGGAGAGAAGACATGATAGATAGGAGGTTACAGGAGCTACTGTATACTGTTAGAGCTGCTCTGGGTGCTACAAACTTTGCTGCTAAAGCTTTCACAAGGATCGCTTCCTGGCATAGTACTGTTTTACAGTCCTGTGTAGCCTTTTGTGAACTCTTTTAGAGTGGAAACTGACAAATTAGCTGGGCCACTGTGTGTGTGTGTGTGTGTGTGTGTGCGCGCGCGCACACGTGTGTGAGTTTTCTCCTGAAAAACAGAGAGAGTGGCTGAAATTCCATCCTTTTCAAGGTTTCTTGTGTTTGCCCTTTTAAAAAGAAATCCCAACTGACTAATTTAAAGAAACTGTTGAATGGACTGTGCTCATTGTTGTCTCATGGTGTGTTGATTTAGAATTACTGCATTAAAATTTTTTTTCTGCTTTGGAAATGGATTTGACGTGACAGTATCTTGGAATTGTGTACAGGTGGACACGAGGGAATTTAAAGAAACTTCAACTTCAGACATAGTCTTAACTGAAAGGTTGTTACCTGAACACCTGTAATCTGTAATAATTTGGGGCTGCATTTCAGCCAAGGTGATGGGTGTCTAGTCAAAATACAGAGATCTGAGAGTAGCAGTGTCCAATGTCCATAAAGTGAAGAGTGCCAACTGGGAGGCATATCATAACTACTTACAACTTATTTACAAAGGCATATGTCAAGAATTTGTCAGCATTTACAGTAGTTGGCCTCCATGTCTAAATATTATTAAGTCTGTTTGGGTTCCCTTGTTTTTAAAAACAAAAATGAGTTATTTAATTTAATACTGAATAATTTAATTTTCTGCTGTTCAACAGATTTCTGCTATTGCTCTTAAATCTTAAGCAGTTAATTGGAATAATGTTATTATCAATGCAAATCTGAACAAAAATGTATTTCCACAGCAAAAGGAACAAAGCAAAGGGCAAGACAAAAACTACCTAACCCAATTGACGTCATGAACAAACACAATGCAGAGATATGAGAACAAAACAGAAAAAAGTAACAGGAGGGATTTCAACCATCAGACCGAACCAGTTTGTCCACGCCTAGAGTTCTTAGAAAGGGGACTAATCTGAAGACAGCTGTTGTAGGTAGAAAGTAGGCTCTTCTTCAACACAGGGACACAAAAAATGAGACCAGAGGGCTTGATTAATGTATATTTATGCAAAACACAGTGGCATACTGTGCACCAGAGCATCAGGAATGAGAAACAAACCAATTAGATTAATATTTTTGATTTGATTTATTTGCACTGATTGGACTAACTCAGACATCTAGATATTATATTGGTATTGTTTAGTAAATCATTTAGATTTATACATTCATATTTTGACAATGATAGCTTAGCTCACATATGATTGGCTGAAAATTGAGTGCAGAGTACAGTACATTACCATGTCTGCGACCAAATCAGAGAGTGGTTAATGAAGCATGTCCTGTCCATTAGGATCCAAATACCAGTTTGTCAAATAGTTACAACAAGGTTAGTTAAAATCACACAAGACTGGCTCAGACGGAATGGGCTATAAATATCTGTATAACAGATATACAAAAATGTAGCATTAGAGCGTACATAATATTATAATAATTGATTCATTTATCAGTCAAAACTTAGCTGAAGGTTACTTACTTATTTAAAAATAGTCATGGTAAATTTGATGATAGCTAATGTATATTTTAATAGTGTTGTTTCCTGATATCTGTAAGTATAACTGGAAGACTTAACCCGTATATTTTGTTTAAAGGAAAACAGTAAAGACAATTCGTTTACATTTAAATGTTTCCTTTAAAAAAAGTATACAAAACAAGGGTGATAGAGAACGCTAAATTTGTATAATGTAACACAGAGTACTGACATTATGAAGTCACCAATATTTAGGTTAACAATTTAATCTCCTACTTACTGAAAACATTACTTTCGCGATTTGCTAAAAGTACAGTAAAGGGCATTGTGTAGGCGCTCTTATAGTTGTTATATTTGTTACAAAAGTAAGTCTGCTAAGAATTAAAATTATTGGATAAAGTAAACTAAGCTAAAAGTACAGCAAGTAAAGTCACAACCAAAGAAGCAAAAAATAGATGAAAATTACACTCAGACAAACTAGCCATAACATACTAATAAATAACGTTGAACATTGAATATTTGTCTTTTATATGTATAAAACTTCCTTACATCTGTATAAAAAAATCCTTACATTTGTATAAAAATGCGAACGGAATATTGTTCATTATATTGCAATTTGTAACAATACTATTCATATATACGTACTGTTTCAAATCTTGTGAAACTTTAACACTACATCGATAACATAGCGCTAACGCAATTGGCCCAAAGTACGATCCCTGAGCAGATAGGAGCCAACCAGCGCCATGCTGCGTAATCTATTTTGTCAAATCAGAAGCTGGCCACTTTGTCCAGCCCACAGCCAGCAGGCTGCAGTTTGGTCCAAACAAGTGTCATTTACACAGAGAGAGCAGGACATGATGGAGATTAAGCAGTTTGAGCTGCAAAAACAAAAACTAAGCAATATAAAAAGTATTTGAAACTACTTTTGAAGTCACCCACGACATGGTTTACATTCCTGTCGGCTTGTGTTAGCACTTACAACGGTAAGATATTTTCGAAAAGACGGAAATGGAGTTTTTTTCCTATGGACTCGACCGCATGAGTTGATGTTGTTTTAAGGAAGCTAGCGTTTTTTGTTTCTGGTCTTTCTTCAGTGCAAAAATCTATGTAATAATACCTCAGTCCCTTTTAAAAAAACAAAAACTTCCTGTTACAGTATTTACGGCCACTTTTTTTCGGCTGAAGGATGTCAACACCGAACAACTCGCTACCACAGCCAAGGGTGAGACGCAGCACTGCTGGCTCCCCGGGCTCCAACAGCGGCGGTGGAGGAAGTTCCGTTGGAGGCAGCGGCGGCTGTCGACTGCACCCCATCCGAGCCACCGTGCCCTACCAGCTACTTAGAGCGGGTCAGAGTAGCCCGACTCGGCCGCAGAACCACCACGGAGGAGGAGGTGGTGGTGGGGGAGGAGGAGGAACAGCCAGCCGAGGCTCCAGCACCCCCTCCAGCCCGACACTGACTCCAGGAAGTGCGAATGCAAAACAGAGACTGTCCCCCGAAAACAGAGACGCTTCCTGTCCTCCAGACTCTCCTGGATCCAGAGGTAAAAATAACACTATACAGTACTTTAAGATAATGTAACCCCAAGCAAGTAGCTTGCCACAATTATGCTGACAGCAGACATACATTTACTGACAATATATAAAAAACTAATTAGAAAAAATTGTAAAGTTGTTGTTTTTCTGAACACAGTGCAGCCCTCAAGTTGACTTTTTTTGGTCCACAAAGAAGTCAGATTAAATGTTATTATCTAAAGTGTGGATATACAGTACTTTCTTTGTAAATATGTATCATTGACTGACATGAAATATGTCACAACATTTACCATGACTTACTAAATTTCTTACTTTTGTCAAAGTGACTGCGCTCTTAGTAGAGGGAACACATTCCGTAGTTATGAGTTAGGTTGAAAACTACACCTTTTGCACTTTACAACCTTTGTAACCTATTAGCTTGTTGGTGCAATAACCATACCCATTAAATTTAGTTAGCCTCCAACAACATTTTCCTAGACTCACTTTTTAGGGTTGCTGGATTTTTTTGTGGAATATTTAATATCCTTCTATGCCCAATTGTAAACAGTAACAAATCAACACAACAATTGCCTATCATGTGTGGCCTGCATGTCTGTAGCAAAGTTGGCCTGTGATTTAGAGCAGGTTGATGCATTAACTATTTAGCCTTTCATCCACTTACACAATTAAGCCCTTGTAAAGAGAAAATGGTGAACTGTTATGGACTTTTGACACACAGAGAGAGAGAGAGAGAGAGAGAAGGAGGAGGAGGAGGAAGGGATAATTGGCAGAAAGTCATGCTTCCAGTTGTAAAAAGGGCCACGTCAGTCCCAGCAGCAGGACTGCATTGAGTGAATGGTCAGGTGTTGCCTTGTTTGACTTTTCTTTGGCTGTTTCAGACCATATGCTGACTCTCTCACATGTTGCCTCTCTCTGTTTAATGTTTAGCCCTTACAGGATAGAGTGAATGGTGCTGAATTACCACCTTGATGTGCATTTATCTCATTAGTGATAATTCATTTACTTCACTTTCTGAGTTGAATTATTATAATGATAGTGAGATATGACGTGTCTTGACAAAGTGATTTTGACCCATAAAGTACAGTATATACAGCAAAGTCCAACACGGAAATTAGGTAAAGTAACATCACAAAAAAACCAAGTGATAGTGAAATAAGTAATAGCAGAAAAAACACGAGATGGAAATATTTAATCTTCTCTTCTACAGGGCATGCACACTGCAATCCTTTGTTTTCCTGTATTGGTAGCCTTTAGTAACTGCACCCTGCTTAATACATACTAAATTATGTTTAAGTCCTGTACATTGGCAGATGTAAAAGCCCCATGTCATCATTTGAAGACATCCCGGATATAAAAACAATACCTACAATAATGTAATTTATAATTAATATCAGTATATTGCATGTGAGGTATGGTATTATATTGCCTTGATAAAATGACAAACACATTTTATCACTTTTTAAGGATCTGTTCAACTGTTAACTAACTCAATGTTTTAACTATTAGATAGATAGATAGATAGATAGCTCGATAGATAGATACAGACGTAGATACATACAGCTTTATAAATCCCTTGGGAGTTTCCTGTTGATACCAGCGTCTATTGGTTATGATTATGTTGTGGTTTTTTTTTTTTTTTTTTTTTTTTTTTCCCTAGGGTTTTTATTTAGCAGTCTATACTTTGAAAATGGCAGCTTTAGTTCTGCTTGTGTTCCCTTTAGGACTTGTCTATCATTGCTTTATCAGTTTGGCTCAGCCAAGATTTCCTTTTGCCCATTGTTCTGGTTGTTTTTTCTGGACAGTCAGATCTTCCATTTAAATGGTGCCTCGGTAATAATTTAAACTCAGCGCCTCCCAGTCGGACTTGGGTACAGTTTTAGAATTAGTGGCCCACCTCTGTAAGGACAATGCATGGTGTTGCAAATTAAGACATCAGTAGGGAACTGAAACTCAAGTGTTCTAAAATTAGCTTATTTTATCAGTTACTACAATCCTTTATTTGTTCTTTGTCATTTTTACAATGAATGCCAAATATATGTGCGAGCATTAGTCCTAGCATTAACTGTGTTGTGCCAGATCAATATCATTTTCTCTCCCTGTTTTCACACATGCTTGACACATGCTAGCACTTAGCATAGTTGGCTAACGTGGGAGCGGTAGAGTGAAATGGCAGCATGAAAATGGCTTGAAGTTTGGTGGAAAATTAAATAAATAGTGACAACAAGTGGACAACATTAGATGAAGCTCACCTTAGAGTACTGTGCACTGTTTGTCATACATATATAAGCCTGAGCTGTAGCAGTAGGAAGAATGGGAAATATGACCTAGAAGAAAACTGAAAAGTGACACAGTTATTCCAGTCGCCGCTGCTGTATCTCTTATCATTATGTTCAGATGAAGTATGACATGTTTAGAAAAAAAATTTTGCTGGTGTAATGCGTATAATTGTATAATATATACGTTGCATTAATGCAAAAAGCAGTAACATGAAAAATGATGCTAAGCTTACTTATGGTCATTTTGTGGATTGTTTTTCGTCTGCGAAGAATTAAGCTTTTAGTTTCACCTGTAAGCTCCTTGAGGTTACCTGAATATTTGCAAGTAACATAACATGTTGTTGTGTAAACATTTGTTTGTGGGCACAGCCAGGTTCTTGTGACATGAAAAGATAAAACATCAAATCTCTTCAGTGTGGATTATTTGCATGTGGAAATTTGTGTTTGTGGTGTGCTTGGCATTCCTTGGCCCCTTTGAACGAGATGACCTCCAACCCAAACCAGCGTTCCATGTAGGAGGCAGGAAACTAGGTCTCTACTGCAGCAGCTTATTGCACAGATTTAGCAGTTCCTGGTGAATCTCAGCCGGTTTTGGGCAGCAGTCAGAATTGACCTCCCCCCACATGGCATGCTGCACATACCGCTGTTCTCTAAAAGAATTGACCTCTCACCCAGGTCAGTGTCCCATGGCCAGTGGTGCTGATTGAAACTTGGCCTCCCCTGTCATGACTCTGACCTCACAGTCAAAGAGGGAGGCCTCAGTTGATGATGCTCATCATAACAGTAAGGAGGTTGTGTTTTTATAAAAAGAAAAGTTGCTTTACAGTGAAAGCATCGAACCACTGCAAGGTCATTGCCTTTTTTCTAATACAGCTGCACCCAGTGATTTAAAGATAACTAAATATCTACTTCACTGTGGAAAACACTTCAGACCGTCAAACATCAAGCCGTACCAGAACATGGGCTGTGCTGAAACATTCTGCTTTCATTGCTGACCATTTGAACCACAGTGCATGTCCAAAAAGTTGAATATGAAAAGGTTGTCCAAATCGGTCCACTTAAAAATTTTAAAATTACACTGCGCTTCCTGGTCCCAGTGTGGCATTTTCAGCATCTGTGAGGTTAAGGGTAATAGGGTGTTAAGGCCGCTCACTTATCAGTGTTTAGTTTCCAAAAGATGGCATTGCTCACACTGTTTGCATACCGTCCTGATCAGTTTTAGCTCTAAGCAGACCAGTTCACGCTGGTTTGCTGTGAGAATGAATTCAGTTGAGTCGTGGAGAGATAAAAAAATAATAGAAACAAACTATTTCCTGAGCAGCTGAGAGGCAGATGCACAGGTTTAACACATCATCACCGTACGTCTTGTATTGAAAAAGTGCAGGCGGCGTCTCCTCAAATTCCTGCCTGCGCTGAATAATTTTCACCTCTTTTCAACCAGTGATGCAGAATGTATTTTTTACATCGCCTCTAAAGTGCATGGTGGGTGAAGGGAGGTGGATGGAGAAACCTCTCAACAACTGTAAAAGCAAGGGTTGACTCCAGAATGTTCTTAAGGCAAATTAGTACAATGCATTATTGAAAAGGTGTGCGTTTAAAGTAATGCGTTCTTTTTGATAATAAAAAATACTTCTAACAACTTTTTACAAGTTCATAGAAAACAAAAGCATCACTGCACAAATCCATGTCTGCTAATTAAATTAAAAACAAAAAAAAATTCTACTTCGCTATTTTTCTTCTAAATAGAGATTCAGGTGTAATACGAAATGACAGAAAATATTTTTGTTGCATTTATAGGAAGTATGTGGAACTTTTGCTATCGAGTTTCTTCTTGCCTCTGTCTGTACATGATGAAAAAAACTACCATTTTACTATCCATGCAGATTTCTGTGCCATGCAAGCGGGAAGAAAAGCAAGGATTTCCTAAATGAGAAGGTGAAATGATGAAGTAACACTGAAGGTTTTGGTGTTTACAGTCTTTTTGTCACAGGCAATCAAAGTCGTACACTGTTGTTGCTGATGAGCAGGAAGATCACTGCAGGAAGTGAATGCAGGTTATTGTCATCACTTTAACAAGTCTTTGTTGCTGCCCATTCAGACACTGCTCAGAAGTTTCAAACTAACTCAGTGTCAGTGTGGTTTTCTTTTTACTTTCAGAGCAAGAGCAACAGTGAGAGGTTAACAGACCTGTGTGAACTCAAATGTTATGTTTATGTGACTTAAAAAACATTACATCTGACCTGCCACTGTGCTTTTTTAGCATGAGCCAAATTTCACTTCTGATCCAACAGAGGGATTTCTGAGATACCAGTCATGCGGTGACTTAGGGTTAGGTTTGTTCTGCGATCACAAGACCAGGCTAAATATTTGGCATTTACCTCTGTCATCCAGCCATGTTGAAACCTAAAAGAAACCCTTCTGCTATGGTTTACAGATTTGTACCACATGTTTGTTTTTTCACATTAAAACAACTATTTGTCCCTGGAAAAAAATCTTATATTTCTGTAAAAAGAAAGGTAAGTTCAGTTTAAACCCAAATCCAGGTTGAAATGACCAACTCAACTCACATGGCCTTGAAATCAGCAAATGGGCTGCTTTGATGCCTTGGCCTCTTTCGCTTTTTTTTTTTCATTCTCATCAGGAGATTATTCTAGTCTGGCAAGTCATGAGGCCATGGAAAATAACCACAATCCTGCTTCTTAGAGCACAGGCTTGGCCTATATCAACACTGATGGAAATGTAGTCTACTTCCTTTTGTCTGTAGTGCTTCAGGGAATTTTACTGTGGCCCAGTAAGCTTGCTTAGGCAATACCTCTGGGCTGGGTAGTCCTGTGTAGTCTATGAACAAAGAACAGCAATAAACGGCCCTGTAGTTCTGCGTGCCTTGTGTTGATAGTTTGTGTGTGTGTGTCTGTGTCTGTGTGTATAGTGGTCGTCCTTAGCCTAAGCACTGTTGAGAATGAAATGCCTGATCGTTTTTACAATACTGCAGTTGAAATCTGCAGATCTGTTACCAAATACCAACAGCTTTTTCTTTTTTTAAATATCTTTGTTTTCCAAATAAATATAGTTATCTTTCTGGATGAAAAAAAATCCATTATCAGTTTACAAAGTATTTATCTGAATCATAGGTTAGTTTACCACAGTTGCCTGTACAGATAGGACACCTAGTTAACCCAGGACAAGGTGAGCGTTTATGTTGAGAACATTTTTTACATGCATGGTTTGCTAATCTGGAACTTTGTCATGGATTCTGTAAAACCATTTTGTTTCTTAAGTTTTGTTTCTCCCACATTGAAAGAAAACAACTTAAGTAACTTAGCAAATGTAATCCAGCTTGTAGTACAACTGATCTCACAGTGATGTCTTTGTGTCTTGCTCTTGTTCTCTTTCTTGTTTTTTCCTGCGTGTCACTGCAGGAATGTTGAGTGGATGCAGGCTGTATTGATGTGCATTGTGGTGTGCTTGTTTATGAGTTCTTATGTGGGTGGTGTGTGCTTAACTGCACTGGCTCACCACAGACTGCTCTCATAATATCAGATACTGCTGCTCTGCCATTTACATTTGCTTCAGGCCTCGACACTTGAGCTCATTCTGCCCTGCTTTGCCCTGCGCTGACTCCAGTGACACTGGGAAATATGTGTAAATACTCTGAAAACATAAAAACCGCAGTATGGGATGTTTTGGAATGAATAAAAGTCTTTTGCACAGTTGGTGTGAATGTTAGTGCAGGCAGAGACTGGTGTTTTACTACAGTTGCAAATTTGTAAAAAAAACAAATACAATAATCTTTTCAATATGAATCCATAAGGATTTTTTGTTTAACTAGAGAAAGTGAACATGACCAGATGTCAACAGTCGAGTAATCTAAAACGTGGCTCTTGCTGAGAAAAACTGTTAAGTGTTTTAACAGTATAAACTGTTAAGAACATTTAAACCATTGGTCCGTGTTCCGCCAAAGGCTAAACATTGCGTGCACAACGCAACAATGCATTTTCAGGTCTGTTGAACTCTTAATGTCAACCTGCAATTCTAGTATCTACAGTTATAATCTTTAATGCTATGCAATTTTAAGCTATTTCTGGCGATAAACAAACACCATTACAGTTTATGGGCTGCTCTCACCACGACTCGCTCTTGTGCTAACTTTGTTGTAGACTTTAATTACACTTTGACCTTTCAGTTTTGTAAGTCAAACACGTTCATATTGACACAACTAGAAAACTTTTGTGTCAAAGACGCCCAAGGCTGCATGCAATTATAGCTCACCAAAACAGCGACGCCTGCACGAGAGTGTGGTTAGGAGTACATGCCTCATCCTGTTCCTTCCCTTTTGCTTACCTTTTTTTTATTCCCTCATTTCACAGCAGAGAGGTCTAAGCTACAGGTACGGAGTTCCAGTGCCATCCGACGGACGTCATCCCTGGACGCAATCACGGGGCCATACCTCACCGGGCAGTGGCCGCGAGACACTCATGGACCTTACCCTTCTTGTATGAAAGACAAAGCCACACAGGTAAACAGTGTTCAAGGAATTTCATTTACGCACGAATAAAGGGGAAAAAGCAACATTTTTATGGACATTAAAGTGCTATGCTATAATAAAAAAACACTTCAGCAACACCTCAAGGGCAGGATTAAAATAATTGAAAAACTCCTAAAAACTGTTGTTGGGATACTGTATAAACTGTATATTTATATGCTGTTTATGGTCAAAATGTCAGGATCGAACATTCAAAAAAAAAAATTAAAGCCAGTCCGATCCGATATCTAAACCCAAATGCTCAACATAACTTTGCATGATATGCCATAAACAGGGACACTATCAGGCAACACCAAGGAAGGTATTGTATCGATACAGGTATCAACAGATAGATCAAGTGGCAGTACTGGTATCAGATTTGAAAAAGTTGTATTAATCGATACATTACTCAGAAGGTTAACTCAGATCATTTTTCTTGTTGCAGCCATAGGTTGATTATTTTATTATTTTTTTAAAAAATCACGTGATCTCACTTAAAGTAAATACATTCTATATTCTTTACAAATGTATGTTTTCATTTTGAGGTTTAAATGATCTCAAAAGCTTGAGAAATGTTTCCACCTTTTTAGCATTTTTGTGCCACATTTACCAAATGTAAATAAATCCATCAATAGTGAATAGTTAAGGAATAATGTACGGTTGGTTTAGTTATAATGATTGGGTGGCTGTGGTGTTTGCTGCCAATAGAGGTCAATTAGATTTTAAAGTAAGTAAATAGTCAGAAAACTCCCTCCCTGCACCACAATTGAGTGCATTACAACACATCACAGGGGCCTGTGCATGGATTTCACATCCACCCTGACCACAGTATTCCTGGATGGCAGCCGCATTCATGATCACCCACAAATCTCATCATGTGTATAAATGCTAAGTGCACATTTTCCCCTCGAAGGCCCAAAATTTCCCTCGCTTTATTTTTTTTTCTTTCTACGAGGACGAGGGTCGTTATGAAAGAATAAATTGAATATTTGTGTTCGTGAGCTGCTGCTCCCTCTCTGACACATGCCTTTCATGTCTCTGAATGAGGACAGCCCAGCCTCATTTACATGAGCTTCATTTCTTTATGCGTAGGCTGAGGAAGTGGTGAGTGGGCTCTTGCAGATTTTCTTCAAGTGAGTGTAGAGAACGTAAACGCCTCTAATCACAGGGTTTCTGTGCAGATCTGGAAAGACTTGAACAATGTGGAAAATCAATTAGATAATCATCATCGAAATGAAAATGGTGGAGAAGGATTGGAGCACAAACTTACCACAGTCTACAATATGTTTGTAATAAATATGAATGGGCGGAGAATCAGGACAGAAATGATTGTCATTTTGTCAGATAATGTTTCAAGCCCAATCGATCAACGAGTAAAATGGGGGGGGGGGGGGGGGGGGTCCTCTGGAAATCGGACCAAGGACACTGCACTTTTTTTCTCTAGGGTTGTAGTACATGAACGTGTTGATTTGTTATGATTAAACTGATTCAATTGTTTGATACATTTTAGAACATCAGAATGATGTGCACTGTATACTTGCTAATTCAACAGGTTGCTTATAAGGAAAAGAAGGAAATTGTCCCAGGAACATATGCCTGTGAATATGAACTCCTGAGACTGACTGTGTTGCTCTGGTACTACAGCATCCATGATGCATGACAGCGTACTTTAAAGCAGTCAGTAAATGTCACAAAAAACTGCATTTGAAGTCAGTCCTAGTCATTTTCCTGTCAGAGTTGTAGTTAATTTTTTCGATAGAAAACATTTGGCTGTTTTGCAGTGACGTGGGAGAGCAACTGCTCTTGACAATCCCACAGTGATTTAAAGCACTAACTCTCCCAACAACAGTCGAAGACCATTTCCTGTTAACAAGCTTTGCACTAGGGCAACTTTTTTTTCTTTTTTTATAAGACAACAACAGCAGACAAAAGGCCATTGGGCTTCTTTTGTTGTACATTGCTTAAGTTGAGGACAGCCTCTCCTTTGAGCTGTAATCTAGTCCTGCATGGAGGTGAAGTTGTTTGCACCTGTCCCTCCGGCTCTGGCAGAGACCAGCAGAAATCCCACTGCCTACCACCTGGCCCTTGTGGCTGTGCAGCCTGCCTGCCTTTTGTGTAAGAGTTTGAGGAGCAGAGGGCCCATACATATGCTAATGGAGGTTCCGGGATCTGTTTGTGTCTGCGTCTGCTATAAGGCCCTGTGGTTACAGAACACATAATGTCTGTATGAAAATTAGGGCCTTGATACTCCAGGCAACCCTCAAAGAGCCTGGGCTGATCAAAAGGTTTGTGTCACCTCCAATCTTCTGTTCATGAAAAAAATGAATCTTAGAACGTGTCACAAAGACTTCAGCCCAGAGCCCCATAAGCACTAATTATCTGCATATACATGAAAGATCATAAAACATCAATAGTTCACTTTATAAAATTAATGTGGCTATGTAAAATTTTAGCTGTGTGGAACACCAGCTGTTTCCAATCATAAATACATGATTACAGTATACACATTTTACAAATACATATTTTCAGTCAGTTAAGGGATATTTCATCTTTTTTATCTTTAATGTATTGAAATATATGTATTCAGCATTATTGTATGACATTAATCTAATCTGACAACTTCTTTGAAAATGACTTAACCGGAACAAGGTACATGATGATTACAAGGCTAATTGGCTAAATATGCTGCTGAGCTATTGAACTCAGGCTCCCAACAATGACTTACCAAAAACATTAAAATTGTGCCCCAATTTCAAAGTATAAGCCACCGCTTTCGAATCTCAACATCTAGATATTTTTGTTTTAGAATTGTTAACTTGTAGTTATTTCTTGGCTTACTTTATTATTATTTGGTTTAGGATTCGTTAACCTTTGCTAACGTCTGGTATTCTAAGGTGCTAAGTCAACAGTAAATAATTTGGTATGTTTACGATTCATAATTCTAGTGTAAATTGAGGCCCAAATTGTGTACCATTGGATTACCTCAATACACTAGATTAATGTAGTTTCAATCGAGAAAAAAAAACAAAAACGTCCTTAAACTTTGGACCCATGTTTACTGAAGTGCTTAGAGAGTTTCAGACTTGCACAGGATAAAGAATCAAGTTCAGTCACGTGGTGGGAACACTCTGTCTCATCTTTAAACATCATAAAATAATAGCAGAGGCACAGAGCTTGCATGTCCTAACATGTAGTCTAAACAAACCAGCCTCAAATTCCACAGTGATTCTGTTGAAGCCCAGTCATTATTTCCTGCTTTGGAAAAGCTGAATTCTTGAGGATGTTGCCAGCATGTAACCCCTTTAGGTGGGAATTATAATGGCAGTGTGCTCTAGGCTACCAGTGAAAGGGGTTGTTTTTTTTTTTCTTTATCAGTGCAGAAGTACACTATCGCACTCAACACCTGCCATATGAATCTACAAATTACCCAACTGGGACTGGAAGTTAAAGAAGCTGGCATGACAAAAAAGGGCCCCATAGGTAAATAAAGGCGTGGGTTCACGTTAACAGACAATTTGTTTTGGAGGAACAGAGTCAATAAAGGATGATAGCCTGCAGTATTTTTAACTGCCATGTTTGACCGCGGACAACTGGTGGTAAGGTGCCGAGCGTCTCTAGGAGTCTAAGCCTCGGCAGGTGCAGCGTGTTGGTGTTATAAATCAATTTGGATTCTTGAAATGTAAAACCAAACTAACTCATGAAGACGTGTCCCTCCACTGCAGATTTCAGTCAGAAAAGGTATTAATGGAGAGATAACATGACAACAAAGTGTTTTAAGGTATCATAGACATCAGTGTGCAATTAAAGTGTTGGGTGAACATTTTCTTAAAAGGCTTATTGGCA